GCAAAAAAAAAAAAAAAAAAAAAAAAAAAAAAAAAAAAAAAAAAAACGGGCCCCCATCTCGGAAAACACAGCATCGTCATATTAAATAAATAGCCTTTCTCTCCCCCCATCCGACCCGGAATGCCGCCCATCTCATCAAGAGGAATGCAGCAAACGCCTTAGAGCAATCCGTATAAAACAGAAAAAGAAAAAGAAAAAAAGAAAGGCGAATAATAACGGAAGCGCTCTTCCGATTCATGCTTCCACCCCCTCCCTCTTCCTCCCTTTTTCCACTCCCCCAGGTTTAGATTAGAAAGGCGACAACACGTGTTTCGACACGGAGACTTTTTGCCTCTCCCTATCTCTCTCTCTCGCTTCTTGGCCTAAGCTATAAACTTGCTAGCTGGGTGCTACATTCATGCCTAGTGTTGATAGATCAACGATCCATGCAAACTCCAGCCCTTTCTTTCTTTCTTTTCTACTTCACATAAATTAATAGCATTTACTATAGATATGCCCCCGGTCCAGCAACTCGAGCGATAAGCCAAACACCCCATCCTTCATTCTTCTATAGCCGTGCTCCTAAGCTGTTGTTACTCCACCCAGAATAAGACTTGACCGCGGCCCAAATAATATCTCGCAGTCCTCAAGTACAGTTTACCCCGTATAACAAAGTTTGTCTTTCATTACCACCCAATATCAGTGGGTTCCCGCCATATAAGAAAAAGCGCCCGCCCCTACTAGTACACCTCGGGTAATAAACACCAAGCAACACAAGCAAGGGTTACGACAAATCAGAGAGTCTCAATAATTGAATAAAAAAAAACCGCAGCAATATCTAGTCTATCAATCAGCCAATTAATAAAAACTAAATAGCCAAACGCAAACGCAAACACAACAACACATGCACACGCCGTTCCAATACAGCCTATAGCTGAGCTTTTTAGGCTCCCATCCCCAATCCCAACCACCCCCCCAAATCCCTTTTCCTTTTTTTCCCTCCCTTGCGCCATTAGCTGCGTCTCCTTGATTGTCTGACACATTTTCAACTTTTTCTGTCGGGAGACTCAACAAGTATGTGCGTGTGCGTGCTGGCAGATACCAACACTAATGCCATGTAGTGTAATGCCATGTCATGTAATGCAAGAGGATGCGCTGTTTTTTAATCATCAAGTTCGAGGAGACAAAACAATATGAAGGTTGTATGTATATACAAAGAAACTATAAGAAACTACAGTAGCAATAATGCCGCAAGCCTCTTTTTTTTGGCTCCCCTACCAGCATGCAACCAACCTAGACAAACACTCGGCCACTCCGAGTCAATCTCATGCATACGAGTCAAACTCAAACTAACTCGGCTATTGCTACTGCTATTACCGACCGCAGCTTTTTCAGTCAGACATACACCATTTAGATCACCTTCACATAAGTATGTAATAACAGAAGAAGAGAGCAATTTAGAGAGTCAGGCATGCACGATTTACATCACCTTCCTATACTTGCGTAATTCAAGAACAGGAAAAACAAAAGACAAAGAAAGTGTAAAGAGGAAGAGAAACAGACCCATCTCTCCCTGCTATTATAATAAAAGTAGTAATACTAACAGATAATGCAAGAGAATAAAAAAGTCCATTATAATACGTGCCACTTTATTCTCATCGCAACCGCCTCCAAAATAAAAAGTGAATTACCGTCTATCAATATCAAATCAAGTGCGACCGGCACCTTTGTTTATGCGTTTGGTCATCTCCAGAAAGGACATGAAAAAAAAAGGGAGGGTAAAGAGTGGTTTAAAAAAAAAAGTATAAACAGTCGTTATAACCAGGGGAATCATATTATGCAAGCCTTTCAACTCCTTTACGCCTATTTTTGCGCCTCGCTGTTCTGGCCCTCGGCGGGCTTTTGTGATCCCTGCTCCGGGCTTTCTTCTGTTCTTGATTGATGTTGTAGCTGAAGCTGATAATGCTGCATCATGGCTTCTCTGTCTTCAGCTGATGGCCGGCCAATCGGTGACCATCCTGCTGCTACTCCAGCAGCCACTATTCCGGCCATGACTGTTGGTGCTCCGAGGGCAGAGTTAGAGCGTGACCGGGCTGACCGGGAACGCTGCCGCGATACTGGTGTGGCAACGCGTGATGGGAAGCTGTCTTCTCGGCCCGGTGTATCGGTTGTCATGACAGAATTGGACCGGGAATGAGACGGGCTCCTTGACCGCGTAATCATTTCTTTGGGGTGTTGGATGGCAAACTTCAGATTGTTAAGGCGCCCTCCCTTCATGCGCCTGAGAAAGTTAAGTTCATCGCGAACATCAACCAACGGCTCAGGGTACATGTCCATCTCCTCGTCAGAGATTGTGAACCCAGGCACCTGTTTCGCTCGACGCCTAAGGAATTCTGGCACCAGTTTGATAACAAAGCTGTCTGGAATAAGGCGAATAAGAACACCGATTGGGATGGAGAGGAATCCGAGCACAAGGGCAATGCCCCACATTCCTCCGGATTGGTCTTTGTCTGCAATCGAAAAAGCAGCACCGCCAACGAAGATGATCAGAACCTGGCCACCCATCATGAGAGTGCTGATTGCGATAAAGAACCAGTTGCGTGTCAGGCCTTCAAAGATGTTAAATTTGTTATCCAAGCGTCGATTACTAAAAGAGAGGTGAAAAAAAAAGGAGGTTAGCACTCAATTTATACAAAGACTCTCAGGTGTTAGATATACATACTTCCATTGGTTGAAGATTTGCATCCAGACGAATGTATTGAAGACCAGAGTTTCAATGTCGGCTTTGGTGACCTCGCCTCCAACAATGGGCTGGACCACGTTGCTGCCGCCAAAGTACAGCAGGAACGTGATAGCCAGTTGGTACAAGGCTTGTCCAATAATCATTTTCCACATGGTTGGCGAGATGATAGACGAACCCTTAGGCTCAGGCTTCCTGTCCAAAACACTGTCCTGCGGCGGATCAGTAGCGAGAGCAAGAGCTGCCAGTGTGTCCATAATCAGATTAACCCAAAGCAGCTGAACAGCCGTGAGGACAGACTTTTCAGACTCGCTAGAGACGGCAGAAACAAAGGTGAGGATGACGGCAGTGATGTTGACTGTAATCTGGAACTGCAAGAAACGTTTAACAGCATCATTGACAGCACGGCCCCATTTCAGGGCTTTGACAATGCTGGCAAAGTTGTCATCCATAAGGATGATAGCGGACGCTTCCTTGGCAACTTCAGTACCGGCGATGCCCATGGAAAATCCAACGTCGGCCATTTTGAGAGCGGGGGCGTCGTTGGTGCCATCACCAGTAACGGCAACGGTCTCTCCCAACTCCTTAAGCCTTTTCACTAGAATGCGCTTGTCCTCGGGGCTGGATCTCGCAAGGACATGAAGTTTGGGGATGATTTCGTTTTGCTTGAGCTTGCTCAAATTACGGAAGTCGGGGCCCTCCATAACCAAGCTATCAGACTGCAAAATTCCACATTCCTTGGCAATGGCCTGAGCAGTGATCTTATTGTCACCAGTAACCATGCGAACAACAACGCCGGCCATTTGGCATAGCTGAACAGCCTCGGCGACGCCATCTCGTAGGGGATCCTGGATACCCACCATGCCGGCAAACGTCATCTTCTGGAATAAATCCTCAAATAGGATTTCACCCTTGCCCTCACCGCGGCGCAAAGCTGGCGGAGGCCACGACTCAAAATCTCTGTAGCACAAACTGATGGTTCGTAATGAGCGCTCTGCGTAAGATACAATAAGCTGGTTGGTTGCATCGATATCTCCCTGTGCCATCGACACCACAGAGGCATCCGCCAATGGATTCTGTAAAACTTTGTCGCATTTGGCAAGCAGGATCTCCGAGGCGCCCTTGATGAACAGTCTGGCCGTGCCATCGCGTTGCTGGACAACAATTCCCATGCACTTACGACCTGAATCAAAGGGAATCAGCTGTAGAGTTGTCGAATTTCCCCGTAGCTCGCTGACAGGCCCCATGCCCAGATGGGCTCTGGCAAACAGGAGAAGGGCCGTCTCGGTCTTGGAGCCGATAAACGTCTTTTCTCCTTCAACCTCGCCTTCGAATGCCGTCGAGTTCAAAGCAATAGAATCCAGAAGCAACTCTCTCACCGGAGCGCTAAGCTTATTGACAAAATCTGATGCGGGTAATGGTTTCTTGTTGTCGCCTTCAGCGTTATCGACGTCTTGTACGCGAGACTGGCGAAACTCATGGTTCACTCCCACTGTTCCTGCTACAACTTGCATTTTATTCTGAGTCAAAGTTCCTGTCTTGTCAGAGCAGATTGTTGTCGCGTTGCCCATGACTTCACAAGCTTTTAGGTGTCGAACCAGGTTGGCATCTTTGAGCATACGAGTTGTAGCGAAAGCGAGAGCCAAGGTAACGGCAAGGGGGAGACCTTCCGGGACAGCAACGACAATGATTGTTACTGTGACAATGAAGATGTTGAGGAACATCTGTCCCTTCTGCGCCGGAGTAGAGTTATCATCATGCGGCAAACGGACCAGAAACTCGATGAATAAGACAATAAACAAGAGCAGACCGGCAGCACCACCGAGCTTAGCAATGTACGTGGCGATGACGTTCAGCTTCGCCTGAAGTGGTGTCATTTCCGGGTCATCGTTGAGAGCCATGAGAGTCTTTCCGTAGGAAGAGTAGATGCCAGTTGACGTGGCCATATAAGTGCCAACACCTTCCATGATCCGGGATCCGGACTGAATGAATGGATCCATCTTTTTGAGGCTCTCATGATTCATAATGGCTTCGTAGACTTCGTCACCGCCCTGTTTGCGTATAATGTCCGATTCTCCTGTCGTCTGAGATTCATCGCATTTGACGTCAAAGCCTTCAATGAGGACACCATCGGCGGGAACCATGTCGCCAGGTTCGAGGTGGATCACGTCGCCAACCATGAGGTCGAATACAGATACTTCCATTGTCGCTCCAGAACGTACAACCTTGACATTTCGATCTTGCTTCTTCTTGTTTAGCTTTGCAAACTGTCTTTCCTTTTGATAATCGTTTAGCGATCCCACAATGACCACGATGGCAATGGCAACGATAATGGCAACGCCTTCGACCCATTCGACCTTGGGTTCATCTGGCGTGTGTGCCTGGCCAAAGGTTTGATAGAGACCAACGGCAAGACTGATGGCGGCAGCAATCGACAAAAGAATCAACACTTTATCATTGTAAGTGATCCACATAAGTTCCAGTAAGCTCTTGCCTTTCTTCTCTGGTAATCGATTGTCTCTAAACACTCGGTATCGGTCTTGAAATCCTAGTGATCGTCGACTTGATTGAGACATTGTGCGAGCCGCCGGTTCCCCAGCTGTCAGCAAGGTCGCGGTAGCCTGCTTATCATTCTTTTTCGAAGTTGCCTCTCCAAATGTGACGTATCCTTCCAGATAGTTTTCTTCGGTGCTTAAGCCAGCTTTGCGATCCGTTCGCAGACCGCGCTCCAAGCCGCTCAAACCTCCTAGGTGATAGAAGGCCGCAAGGTTCTTGGGGTTGAACATCTTGTTGAGTTGGCCTGGTGAAAAGGCAAATGGGTTGTTCTCAACATCGAAGTCGGCCTCAGTCCCTGCATCAGGCTTCAACGCTGTCTCGTCGCTCATCACTTTATCGTTTGTTGGCGTCGTCTTGTACTTGTCCGTCTGCGTTGAGTTGGAAGCAACCACGGTGGTTTCCCCCCCTGAAACGAACGAACGGCTCGCTTCTTCGGAATCGACTGAGTTCTGCCGTGATCTTTTGTGGTTCGTCGGTACAACCAAGAATCCGTGCGCGCCAATGGGAGTCGAGACATTGTGAGGACTTGTTGGCCGGCTGCTCTCTCTGCTAATATCGAAGGATGTGTCCGTCCGTGCTTCGGGGTGCCTTTCTTGAGAAAAGCCAAAAGGCGTCTCTATCATTGTAGAGGGGCTGGCGGCGTCGTCTGGGGGGGAGATGGGAGAGATGGTGTAGCTAGGTTGCGGCTGTTGGTTGTTAAAATCGTGTGTAATTTCTACAACGCTGCTATTGGGGTTGACGGCAGTTGTGTCTATTGTTATCGTCGGCCTAGGTATGCAATCTATTGGTTAGCCAACCCTTCTTTTTTTTTTTTTTTTTGGTCTTGAGGGAGACGGGGCTGATTCGCAAGCAAAAGGAACACATACGCCCTCCGCCTCGCTGGAGGCCCTGGAGAGGGCTCAGGCTTGTTGGAGTCGGCCATTGTCAGCACTCAGCCGCCTCGAGGCAGCACACACGCTGAGATACGGCTCCGTTGCGAAAAGAGGTGTCGAGGGAGAGAAAGGGTGAGGCTGGACAGAGAAGACAGGCAGACTCGTGCAATCTGTAGCAACTGAGCCAGGGGGCGCGTTTGGCGGAGCTCAGGCGGGTTAATATCTAGATTTGCTCTGGCAACAAGGGAGAGAGGACTGGCGAGGCAAGCCCTAGCGGCTCGATGGAGGCGAATTAGCACCAGCTCATGGCCCAAGGAGTCGGAGCTTCGCAACGTCGAGCGCCCGTACAAGCAAAGTACTCCGGGAGGAAGAGCGTCTGAAGAGAGCGGCCATGCAAAAACCAAGGCCAGAAGCAAAACAAGGAATAAGGAATGAAGAGACTTGCATGTACCTTGCCATCGTGCTCGTCTCGTGCTTGAGGTTTAGCGTGAGGCTATGCTAAATGAAAAGGGTGAGTGATTGGCAGGCGGAAGCCAGCAGCCCCACCAGCATCAACCCATTTCAGTGGAGCGCCAGCTATGGTCGTACCTGTTAGACCTCGGTGGGCCGGCGGCGGTTCCAGCGGAGGCGAGCTCGCGCGGGTAGTCGCTACTGACGTGGCTATGGGATCGCGGGCCAATGCGCAAGTACCGGGAACCCAGCCTTGGCCCTCCAGGCAAACGCTCGCGCAGGGAGTGTCGCTTTGCTCTAGCGGCACCACTAAATAGGACAGTGGCCAGAGGCGCTATAACTCCAGCCAGCCGTGCATACACAATCCCCCTTCCCGGGCGTTAAGGCCGCTTACCGCACCGCTGAGGCATTGACTGGGCGCCCCGTACCTTGCCGAAGCAATGTACTCTTAGCACGCGGTCGAGGCATAACTTACTTGTAAGCATAAGGTATACAGCTGCGCGAGTAATGGTTCCGCGGTATAACGGCCCCGAGGCAGCATCTGCACCGTGCAGTATACGGATTCTTTGTTCAATGGAGCGATACCGTACTCTAATTGCGGAGAGCAACATTTGCATGATCGTGATCGGCCGCCTCCCTGTTTGAGCAGCTGGCAACGCCATTTCCAATCGCTTGGCAATGCATGGATTATATCTATGAGTGCTTTATAGGCACTTGCAGCGAGAGAGCTTGGCTGCAGTTACAAAAGTACCGGGTACATGGCCGCTAATATCCCCAACACGGCCAAGCTGACCCAGTGCCAGAGTACGCGGGTGCATGTACGAAAGAAGAAATACCTCTAGCAGTGGCATAATGCCAGGGTCTTCAGGCGCCAACTGGGAAACCCGACGAAGCGACTTGCACGGATTGGAACAAGTTTTGAAAGCAATCAGCAGTCTAATTGGGCACGAGTGCGGCGTTACCTCGACCTCTTGACCGACATGCTTCAGCACGTCTCGTATACCTAATTCGTATATCCGTCTGCCAGCACGTGTGCAGTATGTATGTAGATGGCTACCTAGGTACTTACTTCGGATAAAAGAAAAAAATCTGAGAATAATCCGAATTAGCTAGACAAGGAACAGGGGCTTGGCGGCCTTAGTACGGAGGAGATGCTCAGAAACTCTCGCCCTGCCACCGAGCAGAGGCCTCAACTCGTTTACCTGGGCCTCCCCATCAGCGGCGCCCAAGTACACGCACTACCGCTCCAGGTACAAGTAGCGAGTCTCCGTTGTGGAATCTCTTGGTTTGGGTACCTAGGACTCCTCTCTGCCCGCTAAGCCGCAAAGGTATCTCCCGAATACAGTTTCAAGCTGAAAAGTATCGCTGCTCGCGTGTCAGGTCCACGTAATCAGCCACGGCAGAGCACGCCATGGGCCACCAGTCAGTCGTCGCCCAGCATCATGAGACGGCCACAGCCTTGCCTGTGGCGATAGCGCTCCTCTGCCCGCGGCACCATCTCATCGCTTCGCTCGCAACGTGCCTCATCTTCAGCGCATCTCGTCGACGAATCTACCTTATCAGATCATCATGTGATGGGCGGCCGTCAGAGGCTCCAGCGCCCCCCAGAGCCTAGTTCCAGGGGCTGTGCCAACAAGCTTTCTCCCCTCTTTGGCACCTCTGCAGCCCGATCAAGCGCTGCGGGCAACACAAGCACTCGGCGGGCAAACATCCATTGTATCAAAGTCGCCATGTCCTTGCGATTGCTACTTACACCTACCTACGTATGCAAACCCTCATACAAGCCACTCTCCACAGATCTGGCAACCAGCGCAAAGTTCACCACCGCCAACGTACTAACGGCTCCGTATGGAGCCAGCAAACCCGCCACGTGAGGCCGCCCATGCGAATATGCTGGCGATTTGCTGGCAAAACAGTCAATGCTATGGAATCAAGGGCGCCATATCTGCTCGCCAAGGCTTCATCAATCTCCCGTCGTCATAGGAACTCGCCGCGGCCATTGAGGCACAGCCTTGACGAATACGCGTCCCTTCAGGGGCTCTGGAAAATGTTTTAGCAGCACGGCATCAGACAATACCGATGATACCCAAACAATGTCGCAAACCGCGCAGCAGCAAGTCCTGGATATCGCTGCGGTCATACATGAACACGGCACACGACGGGTCATAGGTGGCATCTGAGACGCAGAGAAATACAGCTGTCTCTCGCTACCAGTAAAATGATGCTGCTTAATTTCTGACATTGGCGCTAAGACGGCAGAAAGTGACATCGTCGGCCCCATCGAAGTGCTTATACTTGTAGCGCCATCTGACGCTGCTGGAAGATCAGCATCTTTGTTGGAAGGTCGTACATTTGCACACGCATTTATCGGGTTTAGTCCTCCGATCATCATATCTCTGCGCCGTGCCGCCGTGGATATCAAAGTGCTGCTGTATCACGGTTGCAGAAATGGATTCCAGAGATGCGGTGACGGCTGGCAAAAGTGACTATTCTGGCGCCAGGCGGCTGAGAAACGAGCATGACTCGGCCCCAACATAATAATTAAACTACGGGACTTCAAGCACAAGAGCAAGCTTCATCTTTCATATTCCATACGGCGGCGTAGCCAAAACCTTGATATTTCTTCAAAGTGGAGTGTGGGGTACGCTTGCGGGTCTGGAAACTCGCAATTACGCGGAACACCGCAGTGTTATCTTGATCACGGACGTTGCCCCAGGCTCATTGCCAGGCTCTCCAATACGGCGAAGCCATTGAAACAAGAGTCGGACATTAAATGACAAAATCACCAATAACGTCGCCATGATCCAGTCGCATCTCCCAAGCAGACTAGAGCTAGGCTAGCCGCCCACCCTGGCACACCTTATTGCTGTTAAGGTGTGTTTCAAGATGCTAAACGGCATAGCGCCTCCACACACGGACGCACGTTGTCTGGCTTATATAGGTACGAGACCCAAATCACCATTCCGGCCTTTGCTCTCTCTCGCACTGTACGGGGTCTAAGCCAAGGGGGGCCCCGGTCCGCTACCACAGCTCGCTCACGATCTTCTAGATGGTTTTTGCTGGTGGATGTGTTTAGCTCCAACAAGTTGCCGTGGCTGTAAACCTTGTTCCGCCTCGTTCGTCAAATCATTCTCATACTAAATGATTTGGTTCCGACCATTTGCCTCCCATGGGAGGATCTGCCCCGGGAAAAGGGAATGGAAGAGTGTAGAAAGAATCTATTCGTCGCCCCTAAGCGAATCGTAGCCCCCATATACAGTGCCTTTGCCGAAACTGTGTGTTCCGCAGAGCTGGTTAATTTGGAGTTCCCTATCTCGGCAAGCTACAAGACCGCATTGAGGCTGAGCAGCTACCTTAACATTATCGACAGCGAATAACTGTGCTGCCCGCTTCTGCAGGGCGCTAAATCTCATCATATCACTGCTGCAGACTGTCATTGTGGCGTCTTGAGATATCACACCATGCAATCAATATCGTGCCGGCAGCCTTCGGGATGGCAACCCCCCAGTAATGTGCGCTTCGAGTAACTTCCTGCAGGAGCAAAAATGTGAGAGGAAAAACATTCTTCTTCTTCTATTTTCCTTTCTCCTTTCCTTTTTTATCTTCTCTTTCGCTTTTTTACGCGAAAAGGAAGCTAATGCCCAGTAGAGCGAACTTTTCACTCTTGGCAGTCCTGAAGCTGAGGGCATTAATTTGCGCCGGATGGATGCAGGATTAAGCCGTCAACCTTGTCCAATATTGTGCACAGCCTCATCAAAAAAATAAGTCCCGTCTATCGGCGGTGATGATCCGCCTATGTGAGCCGAGACAGATGGCGTTTTTTCGTTGTGTGCACGAGCTATGTTTTGGAAGGTTGTCGGCGAATTATTTTGCCTTTGGATGAGCCTAGATGGATGGATCGGAAACACGCTCCTCAAACAGTTGATCCTGCCCTAAGTCACAGGTCGCATCATGCGGATAAAAGAAACGTCGAGAATATTGCCCAGCGGAGAGAGTATCTCGGTGTTTGCCTCGGAATGTTAAACCGCCAAGGCTGTGGTCGGTTACAGTCATGCGCGCGGCTCTCTGCACCAACGGTCTAGAAAGCTGAAGCTATCGGAGGTGGCTAGGCAGGTTATGCGAAGCCATAGTATCTTGGGCTATATGTGTTATTCTGTGACAATTATAGTTTGCTCCGGGCGAATAATTCTATTCTCCTGTGAGTTCAATCTTACGCGGACAAGTTATGATACAACAGTTTTTAAAGTATATAGCTAAATCATTTAGGGCAATCCCAACATTACACTGCACGAAAATGCAAACGATACGCGTCCTACCCACAGTGTCGCCCGTAAAACGACCGAAATCCATATCAGGTGGTGGAATAGAGTAGTCGCCAGTAAAGCATTTCAGCAAAGTTTTTCTGCTCGAGATAATGCCGCCTTAGTTAGGTCTATGTTGGCTTGACTTTCTGATAGCAAGCAGGTTAACTTTTGGACTTCCTAATGCTTTAGCCATATCTCGAATTATAATTATAATTATAATTATAATTATAATTCGTTGAATCTTTGCTTAATTGCCACTTATGGCTGAATGTTATCTCATGTAAAAGGAGTAATAAAAGCAGCATTCCCGTAGACACTCTTGAGAGATTCAACCATCTCACGTTCTATTCTTCTTTTTCTGCTTTGCTTGCCCATACGGCTTGGAGATAAGGGGAACAACAAGAAATGGCAGGCACAATGACGACAATAATGGACTGTTCTCTTCCGGCAGCCGTGTGTGCTTTGTTCGAAGTAGATTGCTCAACGGGTACGGACTCACACAATACCTTTTTCAGACATTGAGGATCAAATACCTAACAAAGTATAGCCTTTTATATCTCTGTCTTCGCGTTTATCATCATCCCATTATGCACAGTCTTGTACTTGACAACGCATAGACACAGATGTACGATAAACTTCATCACATCATTAGCTTCAACTCACCTAACATATATCCAGCCTCCATAGAAGGCTTCGAAGACTACCAGTGCGAGCAAAACATTCTTCTCGCAACTTTATTGCTCTTGGAAGTCTACAACTTTGCCAATCTAGCATTGTTCGAGCCAATGCTAGCGCTATGCATGCTCCCAGTAATCTCCGCAGATATATTCATGATGGCGCTTGTGTGCAGCTGCATGTTGTTGCACCACATGATGTTTGAACCTTTCCCACGACAGCTTTTCTTAGTCCGTCTGCTTCTTCCAGAAGATATTTTCGAAGAGCTACAATGCGATAGTAGCGAACAGACAGACGATGGGGAAGAACCGGAATGGGAAAGCGATTGCACCACCGTATGCGGCGATGAAATGGAGTATGAACAAACGGACTACGGTGGTGAAACTGAGCCGCTGCTACGCGAGTGGATGGCAGAGCAACAGCTGTTGTCAGATAGCATAAGCCAAATAGGTGATGATGACGATGGTGATGATGATGATTCGTCATTTTCAACATCTTCAACTGTGAATAACGAATTCATCACACAATGGTCAGGCTCTAGTGACAGCGACTATGACAGCGACAGCTCTATCTCACTTAACATCAGCTACAGTGGTGATTAGACGATTAGACTGCTTTGTTGCAGGTCTTCATTATTGGGAAAGCCAGCGTAGGCGTACGGTTTGAATACGGTTTGGCAAAAAGCATAGATATTACTTTGATACCCCTATAGACTATATTAGACTAAAATAGGCTGAAAACGCTGTAAAATAGGTCCACATGAATAATTACAAAAAGCGATGCATAGACTGTATGATGCTTTCTAAGCCACCTTGGAGACGTACGCATGGACACATCTATGGAACACTAGATAGACCCTACGATTTTCTGATCTACCTAATCTCTTTTTTAAGTAAAAAAAAAAAAAAAAAATATGCCTTGTATTGTGCCTAATTGCCTTATTCTGGGAATAGCCCTTGTCTTAGAGGCCATTCTGCCCACACATCGGCAAACTTATTCACGAAGCTAGCTTTTTACACCGCTCATCTACTGCCACCAGATCAACTCCATATTTGAGGCTTTGCTATTATTCCCACGGAATGCTGACTGACGCGTATCACTGCCCTTTGACACAAAAAAAGGGTGGGCGTAAAAAAAATCTCATTCGACATTCTCCATAGATGTAAGAGACTTTTGTAACCCCCCCCCCCCCTTCTTTAAATCAAGATGGTGCATATACATTGTGAAGCCGTACCTACTGAACAAAACTGCATATACTTTTTTTTACTTTGTGATAAGTAATAGCAGATTATGAAATGCGTAACGCGGAAGTAAAAAAAAAAAATTAAGATGGACATACATACATTATGCGCCGACAAACTAGTTTCGTATATTGGTGGGTTTTAATTAAGTAGTCGAGTATACGAGGCACTTTACGAGGCGGATTTTCAGTTTTCAGCGATTTCCCAGACTACGTATTTTGACCAACCAAAAAATAAAAAAAAAAAAAGAGGAGGGGAGAGAGAAAGAAACTAGAAAAACGATTGAAGAAAAGATATTCTATTCTCCATCTTCGTATTCAAAAATAGCTTGGATCGACAAATGGGTTGTCGAATACGGCATATGCAGGGTAAGTGGCCAGCTTGCTCAACCACAAATAACCTCCTGCTACGTAAATATGGATCTCCCGGTACGAGGGGACAATACATGAGGTTGTTTCATACACGGTTGTTTCGAATAAAGATATTAAAGGCGATAGATTGCAGCAAAAAAAATGTTGAGACGGTCCTTGGTCTATAGGGTACAAGCTGAGATGAATAAATTTCACTAAATCCACACATCTTAATTATCACGACTATACTAAGCTCATCAACCCCCTCACCAGGAGCAAAGGGAGCTTGTCTATAAATGCCTGTCCCTCTATACATCTATCAAAAAAGCAAATAAAAGCCCACCCAAACACAAGAAAGCTAATCCCAATCACCTCCTCCCCAGATCAACCTTCTTCACAAGCACCATATCCTCATCCTCATCGCCCTTTGCCATGCCATCAACCCCGAAAAACGGCCCAACCGCAAACTTAACCACCCCTCTCCAGAATCCTTCCACAATCTCCTTCAAGTCCCCCCCTGTCTGCTTAAAGTCCGGGAATGCATTAATCTCCAGCAGCCAAGCCTCACCCCCCTCATCAACCAGGAAATCCAGCCCAAACACCTCAAACGCATTCGGCAGCGTCTGGAAGTGAATTGGCATGGCCCTCGCCGCCGCCTCAAACACCTCTCCTGTCGTCTCGCAAATCTGCCCAAACACCTTGTCCAGCACAGCCGTCTTCTCCAGGGGCAGGTTCCAGAATCGCTGCACTGTGTTCTCGTTTGGCGAATCTTGTAAACATGTGTTTGTCAGGAAAGCCTCGATGTCGGTCGGTGCCTCCCAGGGGGCTGTGTAAGGCTTGCCAGCGAAGAGGGCGAGCATGTGCTTGTAGACGTAGACGTCGAGGCTTCCCGTGCAGAGGACATAGGTCCGGATGTGGAACTTGTGGCCGCCGGGGGAGAGGATCAGAGGAGGATGGATGTACGGCTGAGCCACGAAGTGGCGAAGATGAGAGGCCGTGATGTAGTCACCGCCGGCGTCTTCATCCTCTGCTTCGCCTCTCTGGGCGCCGTCATCTTCGTCTTCGTCTTCGTCATCACTATCAGGCCGCTCTGCCTCCCATCCGTCGAAAATGTCTTGTAACTCATCCATGGTACTGAACAGACGGATGCCCTGACCGCGATCACTCATCCCCGGCTTGAGAATCCACCACTCTCTTTCACTCGCATCCTCCTTCTCTGCGTTGCGATCTAGGCTCTCCCTGAGGTCAAACGCCTCAATGAGAGCGTCATCGAGAAATTCAGCATAATCTACTTCAAATGCCTCGCTACGCCTAAGATGCTTCTTGAGAACCGAGTCAGGGTTCTTGGCTGCCCAGTGGTCAAGCGTTGCTGATAGGTAGTGTTTCCTGATAAGCGCTTTCCGGATCATGTAGCTGTTAATAAGGCTGGTTTTGGTATGCGATGAAGCAAATTCAAAGTCGATGGCTTCGTAAGGGATGATTTGCAACACATTGCTGTCGGAAGATGAGAGTGTGGTCGATAAGTTGAAGTTCTCTGAAGATATATCGGTGATGAGGTTAAACGATTCTTTGGGTAGCACGGCGTTCAGCGCGGCTACAATTAGGGGTTGAACGTAAGGGTCATCGTATGACACGATAGCTTGAATCCCAGAATTTGTCTTCTCTTTCTCCTTAGGGCTCTCTCGAACTGACAGTTCTGCGGTAGAAGAAGGTAACTTAATAGGAGGACTGAAAAGAAAATTAGGCGTGAGAATATCTTCTATTTTAGTCTTTCAATTACGCAAAACAAGTCTACATGCAATGTATATCATCAATCGTAACGCGTGTTCCGTCTTCGACTCATAAAAAAAAAAGAAAAAACAGAAAAATCCAAAACTCTAATGCCATAAACACAGCGGAGGTACTCACAGCTTGATCTCTTGCAGAGCTTTGTCTCCCGCACAACTGGCAAAGTTTGCTTTGAGAGGTGTAACACTAATAGAGAAATGGTCATATCAGCAACTTGGTTACGCAGTCGATGTAAAAATGCAGTGATGGATGGCAACACTTACCTTGTATGCCCTTCTCTAACAACCCATCCATCGGATCCAGGCCCTCCTTCTTGTATAGTCTTGTGCACTTCCATGATTTTAGGCGCCCATTTGAAGTTTTTATGCGCAAGTCCTTTGGAAGCACCGTTGATCGCGCCTTCAGTTCCGTTCTCTATTCTTTCCGCCTCATCTTCGGGCTCAATAGCTTCAAAGCAGCCTTCTTTGGACCAGTAATTCTGTAGGATGTCTGTCCACACTACTGGATTCGTCTCTATGTTTTCGACAAGAGGAATGTTGATTGTGTACAGATCAGCGCTACCGTCAGTCGGCCAGTTCTTGTAGAGATATTCAATGACCCTAATGCTGTGCCGACATGCCGCATCGATGAGTTTTGCGTCGTGCGTTTGCGAGAAGCTCAGAGCAATAGCCTTGTCTCTGCAAGCCGCTGCCTCTAGCGCCGCACCCAATGTTCCAGAACTCAGTGCAAATATTGCCGTGCTGTTCCTCCCGTAGTTTGGCCCGCTCACTACCAAATCAATTGGCCCCTTGTGTTGGAAGAAGTGATTTGTGCCAATCTGCACGCAAGACGCCGGCGTTCCGTCAATAAGGACCCATTCTTCGACATCGCCTGAGGCAGACGGTCGAGCATGTATTGTTCCTTCAATGTCCTCGCCATGGCTATTGGCCGAGGGCCGGTAGTAGACAGGCTTCAGCGTCTGGCCGATCATATGCGCCTTGCCAATCCATGACCGCTGTGTGTCGGGAACGCAGACAGAGACAGTGTGCCCTGCTCGCTCCAAATGTCGCACAAAGGTGTGTATGTAGGGAGAGTGGTACGAGGGCGGCCCGTCGTCGTTGGTTACCAGGATATGCATCTTGTTGTCGGATATCGCGAGGGTCTCTGAGAATCCCAGGACGCTTTTTCGGCAGGTTGTAGAGGGAAGATCGAAGCAGGCAGGGCAGGCAGCGGGATCCTAGGGCAATTTAAAGAAGCAGACAGTGGTCAGCTTAGACCATTGGGAGCTCGCTGCCGATAATCGGTCTGCTTTGAAGCAAGCACGCAATCATTCAAATCGCTACTCGAGAGGCGAAGATGGCAAGAAAAGCGCAAGTACCACTTTTCGAGCACGAGGGGCGGTAGACGTGGGGCAGCGGCACTAGCCGACAAATATTACAGGGCACATGCAACCCAGTACAGAGGGATCTTTAGGCCTTTTAAGGGTCTTCGGGTACCTATTATGGAGCTGGGTTACATGCGGCATAAGCTGGAGTTAAGTCGGTGTCTGCAATTGGAGGTTAGGCATCACCACATGCTGGAAGGATAGGAGATATGAGAGTGTATAAGAGGCGAGTTGTTTGTTTACCTACAATCAATTCAACCAACATCAATCAATTTCCACAATCACTAGTTACATTCAATACACAAACATGAAACCAACACACAAACACAGACACACATAAAATAGAAAAAAAAAAAAAAAAACGTACAGCCATGACCATGATTTATTGGAGAGCAGACCATCGTGACATAACCTGTAATCTCTTTTCAAGTTGTGCATCTGCTATTCAGATGACACACATATCCACATTGCCTGCTAAACGCCAAACTGACTGACCAATTCCATCCATATCCACTTGCCGGTTGTGATGGATAAGAATATTCAACACTGCCGAATGCCAAAATTAATTCACAACGAAAATGGCGTAGAGCTGTGTCGGCTCGCCTTTCTCTCACATCTTTCTCAAATAGAAAACAAAAGAAAAGAACCAGAAGCTATTATTGGTATAGTGAACAAAGAAAAGAAGAGACGAACTGAAGCAGAAAAGGGCCGCCGTGTGGCGTCTAAGATCGAGTTCTTTTGGCAGGAGCTGCAGCCAGTGGTTCTCCAGCAGCGCGTTTCGTGCCTGATCGGTTTGCATGCTCCTTGGTTCGAAGCCATGAATCGAAAGGACTCTTCTTGCCGGCGCGCTTTGCCGGCGTTGGGCCTGTGGCCAGCTTGTTGGTAGATCGAGTAGTTCGCCTGGTTTCTGGCGGAGACGCGGGCGCATACTTGGGGGCCTCTGGGGTTTGCGCTCTCTCTTCCTTGGCCTTGACAGGTGTTTGGACAGGGGCCGAGGGCTCTTCTTCTGCCTCAATAGCATCCTTGGCATCTTCGACATCAGTTGCCGCTTCCTCCTCTTCCAGCATCTGCTTGGTCTTTGGAGAGGGCGTTTTGGTAGGGAAGAGTAGTCTGGGCTTGATGGAAGATCGCGTAAGCGGCTTGGAGAAATGAGCCTCAACATCTGAATCCAGTTCTTCATCCTCCACTTCATCATCAAATTCCGAAAATTTGCGGAAAAATTTCTTGCCTCGGCTGAATTAAAACGTTAGAGTATATCCTCGTAATAGGTACAACTTGTAGGGATACTTACAATACATAAATCAGGCCGTCGTCACGGCGCGATGCTTCATCAATCGACTGAGCTCCTTCGCCAGGGACCATCACCTTACGCTTGGTGCGGCGTTTAGGGGGTTCAGCGCTGGTAGCATTGCCCACGAAAGGGTTTGACTTGCTGTCATCCTTCTTGGGGATGCGCTCCTGAGAATCGGTGAAAATCTCGATATCCTCCTCAGCTTCAGTTCGGAAACCCTCCAGAGCCATGCTTGAATACTTCTTTGAGCGCCTCTTACGGGGACTTGATACATCAGCATCCTCGGTGGGAAATAGATTACGGGCGAAAGATTGGATCTCAGCAGTCTCCTTGGAAGTTGGGGGCTTCTGAGGGGTTTTAGATGGCGTTGGAAGCATTAGAGAAGAAGACGCGACAGCCCGGCCAGCGACAGACTTGTCTTTTGATGCGGATGGAGCAGCTGATTCGGCTGCCAGGGCTGCAGCGACGCGACGGACTGAGTCGGCAGCAGGTTGGCGCTTCTTGCGTGGGGAGGAAACTGGTGAAGCCATTGCTGCGGAGCTTTGAGCGGCTGACTTTGCTGCGGCGCGAGGCGATGAAAGTGCTTGACGGGTTGTAGGCTGAGGCGATGGCGTTCTAGCAGATGTGCGTTGTGCAGACAGTCTCGCTGACTTGCGTGGTGAATACGGCTCCCAGCTGTCGTGGTAGCCAAGTCGAGGGGCTGGTGGTGTTCGGATGGAAGAAGATGGGGGTGAAGGCGTCGACGGGGTAGCGTCAACGACAGCCATTTTGAACGACGAGCCAAAATCCCGGAAAAACCAAGATACAAATATTTAAGCGCTAGCCGAATCGATGAGATAGAGCAAAGCCAAGTTGCGGGTGCAGTTCCAGCCTGTCCTGGGTCTTCTCCTAAAGCTGTCGTGGCAGCGGAATCTCAAACTTGGGACGAGCCAGAAAAAGAGAACCGGACCAAAACAAAGAAAAAGCAGTCGACGGGGAGAAAAGCGGTCTATGGCGTCGATGAGGGAATTAATACTATGGCGGGAGAGCCATGCGTGGTTCGGAGGGCGACAGCGATGACGGCAAGATGGGCGAAGCAAATTCAGCAATGGCGGGAGGAAGAAAATAATATCGCGAATTGGTGATCGGCTTGACGATGCTTGGTGATGGATGGCAGAGGAGGAGAGCAGGATTTCGGGAGCTAGACTAGAAAATGAAACTGGAGGGGGCTGGGGCAACCGCCAGCGCTGGAATGGGTGTGCCAGCCCTCCCTTTGCTGGGCCGCTAGAAGCTCGCTAGCGCTACAGCCCAAGCAAGACGCGTTGAGCACCCCCGCCTGTAGCCAGCGGCAACGCGTTCGTTTCGCGCCACGTCGCGCCAATCACAGCGCCGCACGGGCCTGGAGCCCTTTCACGGCTCTCAGGGCCTGCAGCGGCTGCGATTGGTAGCCATCGGGGGATGGGCCCACTATGAAGCTTGGCCTTGTCGACAGCATCACCACAGCAGCGATGCAAGCCCGCAAAAATATGCTATGCCGTGCACAACTCAATCTGGATCTAGTCTACGGAGTACCTACCTGTTCAGCAATTTGATGCCTTATGCACGATTGGCGACTTTGAAGAATCCCCCACTCCGACCAACGACATACGAATAAACGTCACTTGCTGAAAGCATCTTGAAGGAAGCAGCATTTGAGATCTGGAGGCGGCCCTCTGCGGTGCAATTCAGACGATATTACACATCTACCGCGTACTTCTATCTAAACTCTCTGCACTCGGCCCATCTGAATAACGGCCAGGTCTTCCATCAGAAACGCAAACATGGCCGGTGAGATGGATCTGGATGACACAGATCTCTGGACGTCGCCAGTAAAATACGATCCCGATGAGCCTCGTCCGAAAACACCAAAGACTCCCAGAACCCCGCGAACCCCAAAGACGCCAACGGGAAACGACCACCAAACCGATCCGGTCGACCGAGATGCAATGCTAAAGAGGGAGCTGGATGGTGTACGAAAGATCAATGAAGTGATTGAAGGCGTTATAGGTACTCTGCAGCGGGCAGGCGGAAACATGGAGGTACGTCTCCCAGCTCAATAGGCATATGGAGTCCGGTATAGCAGCGCTGACATGTGATAAACACTCTAGTCCGTCTCTAAAACCGTTTCGAATGCTTCCTCGCTTCTCAACACCTGGACTCGCATCCTATCACAGACAGAACACAACCAACGCTTAATCCTCGATCCGACATGGAAAGGCGCAACCAACGATTTGGCGGAGATAGAAGCAGAAGCACTGCGAAAACAACAGGCTGAGGCGCGCAAAGCGGCCGAGGAAGAGGAGCGGAGAGAAGAGGTCCGGCGACGGCGGGAAGAAGACGAACAGAGAAGAAAATTGCCTGCGTCAGCTTCTGCCCGAGGGGCTCGTGGGGCTCCTTCTGGCCTTCGCGGAGCTCGTGGAGCTCGTGGTCGAACAAGGATAGCCACAGGCTCATCGAGGATCGCCACCCGCTCAAGGTATTCCTCAAGCAACAGCGCCTCAGCTTCCTCAAGTAGTCGTGGTACGTCTGGCATTGGGAGAGGGCTTGCGACGACTAGGAGTCGTTACGGTAGAGCCAAATAGTCATGTAAGCTGGATTCCGCACCCGGACTTTGGCCATATGCGGTCCTTTTTTGTTTCATAACTCGATACACCATAGATACCCAGAAAAGTGCAAGCTGTAAAATGCTATTTCTTCTGAAAGAAGTGACTTAGCTTCTTCATACCGCTCGTGTTAACCTTTTTGAGGTCGCGGACTCCACGGCTTTCGCTTGCTTTCTTCTTCTTTTCCTCTTCCAGCTTCCGCTTCTTCTCCATCCGAGCCTCGTCATCTAGTTCATCTTGGTTTCTCTTGCGTCCGTAGTCTTGTGCTCTCACTGCCATGGTTTCCGACCGCAGTTTCTCAAGACTAGCGATGTAATCATTTAGAAGAGAGAAGTCTTTAAGGCCACCTGCTCCAGAAAATGATTTCTGGAGTTTATCAGCCAATACGGGAGCTACGTAGCTGGAGCAGATAAACTCAAATGCTACTTTTAGTCTTTGCTGCTCAACAACTTCTGGCGAAGCTTGTAAAGCACTGGCAAAATTCTCCTCTGCCGGTTCCTCAGCAACTGATGTCGCAGCTGTACTTGCTTGAGAAACTGCTGTGTCGCTAGTCTCCGTGGTTGATATTGTAGACTGAGATGTTGCCAAATCCGTCTGTGGCGTAGAAGATCCTGATCCTACATCGCTGTTGCTGCTCAGCTGGCTCTCTCCCGTTCGCACCACTCTGTGCATCATCGGTGCTTGGAGAACCTTTTTCACAAACTTCTCCTCCATGCTCGGCGGCAAGCCGCTCTCGCTCATTCTCTTGGCCTTTTGGAAGATGGCGTCCACAAGTTTCTTCTCGTTCAGGCGAAACATGGATTCATCTCCAGCCTCGACAGTGTCGCAAATTGCACCCATTCGACTTTCTACTAGTCGCCGTGTAGTATCCCAGCGCATAATCTCAGACAAATGTGAACTCTCCTGTGGCAGTTTATCCAAATGGTCATCACTAGATAGGAACAGCCGCTTCACTTCGTCTGATCCCTTCGATGGCTGGGCGTCGGCCAGCGCTGGCAGCACCAAGAAGAGGGGATCAATGGCTGTTGCCACAAAGAGCTCTGATCCCATGGTTACCTGCGCGCTTGGGTTTGCGCCTTGGTTGCCGGTTTCGGCTCCATTAGAGGCCGGCGCGGCTTCGATGAGCCAGCTTCGCGGCACTGATTTTGGCGTCGCTATTTTTGTGAATTCATAGATGCCGGTTTCGGGACAAGCAAGGTATCGCGACGGCTGTGAGCTTCGTGGATTGGGGAGTGTGACAATTCGAGCGCCTGAAGTAGCCGTTGAAGGGAGAATGAAGACTTTGGGGGCCTCGCCGGCGTGAGAGACGAGGGCTATTGTCGATTTTGACTTGGTCGAGTCGGAATCTGTTGCCGAAGCCGCCGTCGAGGGCTTCGTTGATCGTGTCCTTGCCATGGTGGTGTCGGCAGAAGCGATGGGCTGTCGCAAACGCAATTGGCGCAATCAATGCAACTGATCCACCCTTTTGTAGCTCCTTGGCTGCTATACAAAAATCAATGAACCTTCTTGCCGTCTAAAATGCCTTCCTCTGCCTCTCGCTGTTTACAGTATGGGTGTGAGAAAAAAGGCACCGCCTTGGTGTTGTCGCATTCCAACCCCTGCCAAAGTCTAAAGACGCGATTTACGCGTTTTGCGCCAATCCCGCGTTTTAGCTTTCAGCGCTGGGCTCCACCTCAGCCAGTCAAGCTGTGCAGCCACTACCGAGTCCCCACAGCCCACGATTTGTGTGTCCAAGCCTTACCGGCTGGCACAAGCGGTGCCCGAACAGCGCATCGTTTTTCGCCTGTACTAGACCTATCTCGTAGCAAAAGTCCCATCAACAGCGAAGACCAAAAGCGACGCCTGCCGGATCAACAACGCTTGCGACCAGTGCCCTTCTTCTCTCTCTCATCCATCGATTCCGCTCTACTGCTGTTCCGACCAGGAATCCACCATTGGCGTTCGTCTCGCCTCGTCTCGCTTGGCTGCTGCATCTGTGCGTTTCCCCGCCGAGCTGCCCGTGTCGCAGGCCCTGTCGTCGAGAAGCGAAAACCTCATCTGCGGCCGCTTAGTCCGTCGCCTCCGTATGGCCCCCAGGGCGCTGACGGATCACAAGGGAGCCTGGGCCTAGCTGCTGGTGCCCTGCGTTGTCGTGCCTGAGATAGTTCCGGGGGGTGGTTGGAGTGGTTGGGCAGAGGCGCAGGACCGCGAACCCGACAATCCACCAGCATCAGCATCACCAACATGGCCCACGGTGAGTGGCCCAGGCCGCTGCCGCTGCTAATCGCGACTGACCGCCCAGCAGGACCGCAAGAGTCAGAGACCTCTTGGCCTCCTCGGTCGCCCCACGAAGCCCTCATGAGCACCCCGAAAGGTCGCCAGCGCTACCGAGAAATGATGAATCAGACCTCGCCGACACCCTCGCCCTCTCCATCCAAGAGCAGCAGGGCTACGGCGTCAGTCATGGCGCGATCTGGGGCGCTTCAGGAACAGATGGATGAGGACGACGACGATGACGATGAGGAAACGCTCCAGCTGAAGCTGCAGGAGATCCAGGCTCGATTGAAGCTGAAAAAACTCCAAAAGGCCCGAGAGAATGCCGCCCAAGGCAGACACTCCCGCTCAAACTCTGTTACGTCGAGCGTCCAGCCACGGCGCGCTGTTCGCGGGACTACTCCAACGTCAGAGAATTCCCGACCTGCGTCCCAGAACATGGTACAGGTCCCTGCATCTCCTGTCAGGAAAGTGCAGCCTCCGCAGGATCCAAAATCGCCGAGTAGAGTGTTGCTCGGTATCGACAAGGGGCTGCGGGCAAAGGACGTTTCGCTAAAACGCGCCCCCAGCTTTCGAAGGACGGCGAGCAGCGATGCGGCGGCGCAGAGAAGCTATCCACAGAAGCCGAAGACAGCCAGCCCATCAGGATTGATATCACCCGAAGGATTCCGATCACTCAGCTTCAATGAGCGACTGGCATCCGCAAGGTCAGAAGAGGTGTCTCGCGCCGAAAGGCAAGAGAGGATATCAAAGCTGAGATCCAGTGCATTCGGAATTGGCAAGGAGGAAATGGAGGAATACAAGAAGAATGCCGTTGACATTCCTGACGAGCCATTACAGGCTCCATCATTCAGCAGGGACGAGGTCCTGGGCAAATCGAAACCACCTGTAGCGCTACAACGGACCCGTACGCTATCTGATTTACGCGATACCGCAGGGAGAAACGGCAACCCCCCATACGGCAACCCCCCATTTATATCAGCCTTTCAGAGTCGTAAAAACAGCTTGCCTACGAGTGATATCTCGACGGAAGAGCAAGGATCCTTTGAGCCTTACTCTAGCATACATCTTTCTAAACGGATATTACCTAACCGAGTCGTAGCCAGGCATATATCTGGCAAGAAAATTTTCAATGTCAAAGATCTACTGCGAGAGGTCAAGGGTCCAGACTTTGCCCTTCCAGAAGTCGAAGAAGACATTATCGTCTTTGCGATTGTGGCGAAGAAGTCTGAACCTCGAGCGCATAAGCCTGCCGTGGGGAAGAACGGACAGAAAGAGGAGGACCGTGGCAAATACATGGTACTGACTCTAGTCGACTTGGAATATGAACTAGATCTATTTCTATTCAACTCAGGATTTACCAGATACTGGAAGCTTACAGAAGGCACTGTCGTTGCCATCCTCAACCCCAACGTTATGCCCCCACCACCTGGAAGACAAGACACTGGACGTTTTAGCCTGGTTATCAATTCCGACGAGGACACGATTCTCGAAATTGGATCAGCTCGCGATCTAGGATTCTGTCAAGCAATCAAAAAGGACGGAGAGATGTGCCGGTCTTGGGTGAACAAGAAACGGACGCAATACTGCGAATTCCATTCCAACGAAGCCATTCGCAAGCAACGGAGTGCACGAATGGAGGTCAACTCGAGCGGATTTGGTACTCGCGTTCGCTTCCAGGGCAAAACTTCTGCAGAGGTGTTTGAACCAGTGAAGAAGAAGCCCGACAACTACGACTGGGAGACAAAGACGCATTGGTATGCGGCGCGAGGGCACACAGCTGCAGAGCTGCTTGACGGTAAAGACCGAGATCCTTCAGATAGGAAGGATAAGGCCGAGTTTCTACGACGGAATATGGAAGCCAAAGAGAAGGAGCGTGAGATGATGAAGAAGCTCGGCGAAGTCGGCAATGCCGCTGGAAGAGAATACATGCAGCGCTCAAGATCTCGAACCGATGCAAGCCTGGCACCCAGCAGCATGAGCTCAAGCCAGCAGCTCTTCAACGCGGCAGATCCCTTTTCTGAGCCCGAGAAACCAGATGCAGCCGCGCTCGGCCTCCTTGATAGGGCCCGCGACATCCACCTTAGTCCCGTGAAAAGGAAACGGACGGGCAGTTCTCAGACTGGATCTCGTACGCGGAGCAACAGTAGCAATAGTAATAGTACTACTCACAGCAGGCCGTCCGGCCTTGGCTGGGGCGGCGCGTTAAAGGACAAGCTCTCGAGCATGAAGGAAGGGGAGAAGCTCAAGCCAGAGCAGCCACCACTTCGGAAAAAAACGCGGTTCGTCACGGATAAAGGAATCCGGGAGGCAGGTCGTGAGAGCCTTGGCAACTTGTCCGAACGGAACTTGGCCGACCGGCAGGTGATACTCCCCGACGACGATGACGAGCTTGTCATCGTAGGGTAGATCCAAAGCTGAGGTTTAGAGCAGAATCAGGCCACCAATAAGAGACTGAGGCGGCTACATGAACGACTTTACGACTACTACTATATAACAAAAGGCATGGATAAGGTTTTTTCTAGGGGGGAAGCATCAATAGCATTGTGTATGTAACTTTCTGGCACATTTTTTCCTTTGTTTCCCTTGACTGGTACCATAGTTGCCACAAATACTTCTTTTCTTTTGTCTGTTTGTTTGAAACTGTCTGGATGAAATGGAAGATTGGGTATGGTCATAAATCCGGTTGAGGCAAGCCATATGTTGGCTATTGTAAAGATAAAGGCGGCGAAGGGGCACGGCAAGGTCTGATTTTATCAAGCATTGGGGCGACAGCGCCTATTTTTTTTCCTTGTCACTTTTCTTTCTTATTTGAATACGATATTTTGTGCAATCTTGCATTAGATGGGATGCTGTGCTCTTTTCAGCTCCGAGTGGTTACGATGGCATCATTGGCCGAGTGAGGGGCGTAGATGGGTAGTAATGCGCTCTCACACATGACGCCTTGTGTAGCTGTCGCCGGTTTGGATTAAGGTTGAGCGGCGGAATTTGGGCCATCCGCCCATTTGCGCGTTTCTCTCCGACGGGGTTTACAACGATCACGATCCCAAAGACAACTGCTGTTTCTTTGTCCGACTCTGCCACGCCGATTAGCGCCCACGGCCGGCGCATGGTTGACATCACCACGTGCGGCGCCGGACTCGCTAGGCCTGTCATACCGCCTCGATTTAATACGAGCGGTGCTAATAACTCATTCATCCATCTGGGCTGTATGAGGCGGCCCGGCTTTTTGTGGGAGCTTGTTGATTGCCGGAGCTCGTAGATGATCATATCCAGATGAGGAAACAGATCCCTGTAGTAGATGGACAGCTGAACTGTCTTTGACGTCAATTATACGAAGATGGAAGGATATGCGCTGGAGACATTCGGGTGACACGCGGCTAGCAGCTTAGCCCTGCCGTCGAACATTGGAATGTTTGAAACTTTGATGCAGAACAAAAAGCCTGGAAAGGAGGTGGTGAGATGAGAGCGCAAGAGAAAGTGTAAGACGCCACACAGCGGAGGGGATGGAGGTAATACGAAGTAAGCTTAATGCCATTGTGAGAAGGACAGCGCTGGACGCCCAATTACTGCTGAGCTGGCTGATTTGAAGGCGTTTTGTTGATCTTTTTTTATCTTTTGCCACCCGTGAGGGGGTCTTTTTCTCTTATTTCCTTTTGCGAGATCAAAATTTGCAAGGTTCTTTTTTTTTAAAGACAGAGGTGACGATTAGGTGCTTAGGTTGGTCCAAAACCTAATTTCGGTAGCGTGGAATGCGGCGAGCTGAGCGAAAGTGGCCTCATCAGAGCTCGGCTTGTATGCAGAATGATGGAGATGCACACGCCAAGTGCAGGCGATCAATCCGGTGAGTGACGAATACGAAAAATCAAAACACCGGCATATAAAACATCCTTTATGAAAGAAACTTTTCTTTCTTTGCCTAGATTTGATAATAGTTTTGTGTTGCTTCACACTCAATTTCGTCAGTTCGTATAGTATCTAGTAGCTGTGAATGATCCGTGTTATATCCGATTTCGTGTGTGTGCATGTATACTCTCTAGGATTATGGTCCGAGATGGGGCCAAACACTGCCGCTATATGAGTTTTCCAGCGAGCTTCTAGATGGATTAGCTCGACTAACATGCCCAGGGATGGCTGCTGACTTGGGCCCCCAATCTGCAATACTTGCGATACTCTACATGCCAAACTAAAAAGCCATGTGCTGTTTGAAGCGTGGAATTGCAGCCAGTAACGTTGCGCTGTGAGAATGCCGAGGATGGCCAAGGATGGCGGCAAACGTGGTTTCTAGCTGAGGAGTTTTACGGGCAGCCGCAGCTAGCGGTTGAAGCATTTCGTTTTGGCCCCCATCGCCAACATCAACATCCAGGCTGTGGTTGATCCTTTCGGCCTCGGCAGCAATGGCGCTCGCGAGTCCCAGAGGGTGGATATGCCTGTACAAAGTATCTTCTGGCTCGTAGATGGAGCAGACTGTGTGGGCTTTCAGCCACTGGACTGATCTGATGGTGTTTAGACGGTTGAGTGTATGGATCTTGGTAGTATTTGTGGCGGATGCGTGTCTGGCATAGGTGCGGTAGGGGGAGAGCTTCTTACGATATATAAAAAGAACATGAGATGAGAGGCGCCTGAGCTACGGCTAGCGCAGCGGTGATGGATTTCAGTCGCATGCAAGGCTGTCTAGAAGATGGTTCAGTTGGCGACGGTAGATCTCGTTGATCTAGCGCCAACACTCTGTGTTCACTTAGGTGACCCATGCAATCTGCAAACTCGGTCTCAGACAGCAATGGCATTACGAGATATTGTTCAGCCCCTTGTTCGCATCCCTTTTCGTCTTTCTTCCCGTTGTCAAAACCCGCCATGCCGTGATCAACACAGAGCCGCTCTTCGTATAGACTTAGGCCTCGAAGGCTAATTAGATTAAAAAAAATTGGCATCTAGCGGTTTCTATTGGAGCTTCTCGACCATTTTCCCCGACTATTGCCTGATAGTCCGAGGCAGCCTGTTTGTATTGGCTGCGGTCCACGCTTAGAAGACATTACTGGCTGCTAAGAGGCTCCGGCGCCGGGAAAATCGGTGCCTCCGGTGCCTTGCGACGCCCGAAGAAGCCGATTTCCAGACCCTCCCAATTCCAGGTACTAGACCAGTCCAAAACGCCACCCCTCTTGTTTATTCAAATGCGTAATTTTAATTCTGGCTTCTAAAATTATCACGCGCTGGAGCCAGTATGCAGTGTCATTAGCACCAGTATGTATGTAGCACCACGGCTATGGAGCATTTTGCTAGTGGTACTAATAGTCGCATTGCTACAGGGCCAGGCAGCGGCAGCAATTGATATCATCAGTGAGACACAGGCCGAGGCCGCGCACCGATGGCTGGTTTGCGGCAGCTGAATTCCCAAGGAGCACAAAACAAACACACTCGCGCGCCCGGTCCACTCTTTGCATGGATCGACAGACGGTGAGGCGGAGAGCCATCGAGGCCATTGGCAGCCAGCGCCGCTACTGCGAGCGTTGACGTCGTGGCACGCGGATTGAGCCACGAGATGGCCAGCATTTGGGCGTCAAGGGCAATGCCTTGCTGCTAACACGTCGCTAGTGGCGCAATGGCTGGCGGCGGCGCACACTTTCACGGCATACTATGGGTACAGCACACCTGCATGCGCGGTGGTTCACCTGGTTTTCCTCCTCATGTATGCTGTACCGTAGCATTACGAGAGTTGATTCAGGTGGCAGGCCGAGTAATACCGCTGCTGTGAGCAGAGCTCCACACGGTGGACAATACAAGCTTTGCTCGGGGATAGACTAAAAAAACTTAATCACAATGCAATTGTCTTGCACAAAGGCTATCGGCATCCCTGGCCTGTCAGCAGCTTGTCGGCACTCGGCTCCATCTCCAAGAGGAGGAGGGAAGAAGGAAATGAAAAGAAAGGCAAAAAATTACTGCTACACCTCCCTTTGATGCTTCTGGCTGGGCCATAAGCCGATTTTGCCGTAGGAAGCAAGAACAACAACAAAAGGAAGACAAAAAGAGGAGACGATTGCACGCAAGGAGCAAACGTCATGCTACGTCTCCCAGCCAGCAGCGGCGCCTACCGTCTGTCTTGTACAAGCGTGGCGTGGTAAACCGCCAGTGCAAAACCGGTCGGCGCTTCGCCGGCGAGCATGTCTCAGACCAGCGCACCGCTCATCGCGCTCGTCGCTCTCGTCGCTCTCGCTCGATCTTCACGCGCGAGCCTACCAAAGGCGTATCGGGCCTGAGGAATACTGGACCCATCCCCGCACGCCTCCCAGCGTCCTGAAATCTCCTCGAGGCCTGTCGAATCTCCAGTCATGGCATGGGGCGTTTCGACACTGCTGGTCCCCGGCCCTGACACTAGGGCTGAATGGAGTCTGGAGCCGACTGGTAGCCTCGCCGCAAAGCTGTCCTTGTGTGGGATTGGATATGCGCTTCCCAAAGCTCCTCGTATCGTACCCAGCCTAGGTGGCTTTTATGCCAAACTGTTGCCAATCGGGTTTGGCCCCCGAGGCCGTGGCGTAGCGCTGCTTGGAAGCGTCTCCACGGAGGAGGTTCATCCCTTTTGCTTTCCTCCCTTGCGGCAGAAGAAGAAGAGAAGAAAAAATAATAAAAAAATGATAAAAAATAAACTAAACAAAGAGGCTAAAGATTGGTTCAGGGATGGATGCTGACCAGGCCCCAAAAAGGAGGGAGGCCGGCCAACACGATGAACACATGCTGCCACTAACAGCATGGAGCGAAGGTGACGGCTCCTCTGATCTGCCCTCTGCTCGATTTCGTTTGCTCTTGCTCTGCTGCCGAGTTCCCGGTGCCCTGTATGCCGTACCAGCCAAGTAGCCCTAGGATTCGAGCGAGCGTGCGTCTGTGTATACTCCAACGGTATGTACTCTTCTGGGTGGGGTGGACGATCCGGCAGCTAATCCCAAGAAGCTGCCAAGGCAAATAATACAAAATCTCGAGCCTGCTGCTGCTTTCCACCCCTGGCCGACCTGGAGAATCCCTCCCATCCTCGTTTTCCTCCCACCCCTGTCACAAAGCATAATCCATTCTATTGGATTGGTATAGTATATATATCTATATCAGCCTCTAGTCGCTTTGCCCTCGCCTACAGCAGGAAGAAGAACCGACCTGCCTGCATAGGGAAGGGAGCTCGCGTTCAATCCATACTTGCTACAAGGGGCAATTACAGCAGACGCGCCGTTTACCCGTCTGTCTCTCATCTAGGGCCATTGTTCCCTTTCTGTCTTTGTCCTCTTCACAGCCTTCGTTCTTCTTTTCCTTTCTTCTCGACTACAAATTTGTTCCCACACACTCGTTTAAACCGAAGCGCATCATGATGTTGCAAGCTTCCGTCTGGGCGCTGGCCTTGGCCACAGTTTCACTTGCACAGGGTACAGCGCACATCCCCGTTACTGGTGTTCCCGTGTCTTCTGGTTCCGCCGTGCCTCTGAGACAAAATATCAATGACTTGGTTAAGTCAGGGCCACAATGGTAAGAAGCCAAAGAATGTTTTGGTCCCCAAGAATGGGGAAGACAAGGTCGCGGTGCTCATCATAAGCATGTAATAGGGATCTGTACGTTCAGGCCATGTACAACATGTCCAAGCTGGATTCCCATGACCCTTACAGCTTCTTCCAGATTGCCGGTAATTGCTTTCTTCTTTGAAATGGCATGACTCTCGGAGCTCTTAGTAACACTAGCTAGGCATCCACGGCGCACCCTATATTGAGTACAACAAAGCCGGAGCCCAAACTGGAGATGGATGGCTAGGATACTGTCCTCATGGTGTACGTCTCTGAAAGGGCACCCATCCATTTCCTCAATCTACCGATACATTTATGGAACGCCTCTGACATCTTTTTATTTTTGTTTTTATTTAGGAGGACATCTTTCTCACCTGGCATCGCCCTTACGTTCTACTTTTTGAGGTATGCTGCTTCCGCGTGTTTCTAGCCATCTGCATCCATTCTTTAGGAATGTGATGGCTGACTTTCTCACTTAGCAAGCGTTGGTCTCCGTGGCCAAGAAGATTGCCAATGGATACCCTGCTCAGTATCGCGCCAAGTATCAAGCAGCGGCGGCGAGTCTGCGAGCTCCCTATTGGGACTGGGCTGCCGATAGCACCGTGCCTCCATGCACCGTCCCCAACACCCTCAAGATCAATGTTCCCAGCGGTAGTGGTATTAAGACGGTCGACTACACCAACCCTCTCCGGACTTTTTACTTCCCTCACATTGCCCTGTCTGGCTCATACGGAGATTTCTCTGGTGGTGGCCAAGACCATACGATCCGCTGCCCTTCGCCTCAGGAGAACTATCCTAACACGGCCAATGCCAACTTGCAGGCGCGCCCCTACAAGGGCTGGATTGTAGGCTGTCGTCGCTAAGTCATGCGTGGAAGTTTGTTGCTAACAGATGAATAGTATGACGTCCTGACAAACTCTCAAAACTTTGCCGATTTCGCTTCCACTAGTGGCCCTGGTATCAATGTCGAGCAGATTCACAATGCCATTCACTGGGATGGTGCTTGTGGCAACCAGTTCCTTGCTCCCGATTATTCTGGCTTTGACCCCTTGTTGTAAGCTAAGATGATATGACATCAAGACACAAAGCATAAACTAACGACGGAATAGCTTCATGCACCACTCCAACGTTGACCGCATGTGGGCGTTCTGGGAGGCCATCATGCCTTCATCCCCTGTCTTCACCTCATCTTACAAGGGCCAGTCTCGATTCAACAGCAAAACAGGAGCCACCATCACTCCCAACTCTCCCCTACAGCCCTTCTTCCAGGCAAACGGCCAGTTCCACACCTCCAACAGCGTCAAGAGCATCCAAGGCATGGGCTACTCCTACCAGGGCATCGAGTACTGGCAGAAATCTCAGGCTCAGATCAAGTCCAGCGTCACCACCATCATCAACCAGCTGTACGGCCCCAAGTCTTCCTCGAAGCGAAACACTCGTGCCGCGGATCTTGTCCAGACTCGTTACTTTGCGCAGATTTCCGTCAACGTGACTGATATTCCGATTCGCCCTGCCGAAATCAACGTCTATGTTGCTGGTCAAAAAGCCGGCAGCTTGATCGTCATGAAGCTTCCCGCCGAGGGCACAGTCAACGGTGGATTCACAGTCGACACTCCTATGAAGACCCTCCTGCACGGAGGTAACCGCAACGCTGTTAGCGCCTTCTCTTCCGATGTCGAAGTTGAGATTCTCACTGTAAGCTCCTCCTTCTTTCCTCGTTTCCTTGAGCAGCCTGATACTAATAAAACTTTAGCGTTCTGGACAAGTTATCCCTCTCGAGAGCGTTCCCAGCCTTGCCATCGATCTTGAGAGCGCCAACGTTACCATGCCGTCTGCCATTGATCAGCTCCCCAAGTACCTCACTCGTTCAAAGCACCGTGCTCAGGCTGCTCAAAGGGGACAGCGTTTCCAACCTCCTCCTCCTCCCCCTCCTCCCCCTCCTTCTCAGTAAGGGAGAGACGTGGCCGCCAAAACTTTTCATCTTGTTGCAATATTTTCTAGCCATATACATGACAAAATGCTCGCGAGAAAGGAATAACTGACTGTGTGAATATATCCTACGACTTTTCAACATAGCTTTTCTGACTTGGCGGACGTGGCATAAATATCTTTTCGCATCTTATGGGCTTTTATCCTCTGGTACTTGTCCAAGAGATTTGTTGATTGGGTTGATGATATGGTTTCTGTATATAACCCTTCCTCTTCCATTGTTGTTGCAGCGTGCGAACATATACACGACATGCACGCTCTTCACCAAGCGCGTTCTAGGTCGTTCCTGCCGGGCGACTCTAAAGGCGGATTGGATATAAATTAAGATGACGATAATTGAATATTGATAATTTTTGATAAATTTGTGACTGAGTAAACTGGCGTTCTAGCTGTTTTGTAACGAGATGAATCAATACTTTAGTTCATTGGGAATGTGAACAGGTCAGTCATGCTTTAGATCTGGGTCATTAGCATTCTAGGTTTGAGAAATACCGAATGTCTGGTTTGCAAAGCAATTGTTGTCAACATTGAAGAAGAAAAAAGAATGAAGAATCGGAAAAGATTCCAAAAGAAAAAGAAAAAAAAAAGAAAGCAAAAAGAAAAAAAACTATGCGGCCTGTGTGGATCGAACACACGACCTTCAGATATCAATTGAATGACTGAACGACTTCAGTCTGACGCTCTCCCAGCTGAGCTAAGGCCGCAAGTTGAGTAGCTCACCCTTTTTAGAGATTATAGGCCATAGCGCTTCTCCGTACAAGGCTTGCGACAGAGAGTTCTTTGAACAAGCTTCGAAGTTGGTCATTAAAAGTGGAACTAACGGGTACTTTGGCTTAGTTGATTGATTCCGTTACCTAACTTGTCAATCATTCATGTTTCCCAGAACGGCAGATTTGCTCCAATTCATGTTACGAGATGATGGAGTAGTGTATGTTTTAATGGTTTCTTTACAGCCATCAATTCAGCATCCTTAAACTACGAAACCTTTAGTTTCAAGACCCGTCTTGCTACGCTCTGCTTCAACGCCAATGGTGAGATGTTTTCTGGGCGGATGTCATTCTGGCTATCCAACTCATCCACTGTTTCCGGATCGAAGGACATGGTCTCATTGGTCAAAAGAAGCATGTTCCGTCTCCAAAAGCGGGAGATCGCGAGCTGTATATACGTAGATATAGGTACTCATAGGTTCTTCCAATAACGCCTTTTCTAAATCTAGGTACTTACGGCCGTATTAACGTACATTTTGCCGTATTAACGTACACTTTGCCGCATATATACAGGTGCTTAAAGATTCTGTGATCGGGATAGAAAGTCCGCGGCGTGACTCAGCGCTGGCCCGAGACCAGCCTCATAGAGGATAGAGAGGCGAATAGCACCGTAGCAACGCGGCTGTAACATGCACAAAAGTACCGTTCCGTTGCTGGCGCATGAGGGTCAAAGTCTAATACAGGAATATAAGCACTGAATATTGCCATCAATTCCTCCCAAGGGCCATGATACGTAGTACAAGTAGAGTGCAAACGATATAATAAAGTCAGATACAATAAATTACTTGAAAAGAGTCAGCGATTTTAGTCACAAGCGCAAGCTCTCTTGGTACCTTTGCGCTGCGGCATAAGAGCTAGTTAATTCTCTTAGCAATACCGAGATACCGAGGCGCAATAGGCACCAAACTTATCATACACACTGTTTTTACCTCATTCCGTACGCCATTAATAAGAGACTTACTAACTGAGAGGCATATACGAGCACTGTGCACTTTTGCTAGCGATATAGTAATAGTCTGATGAACTTTTGCGACTGCGGTTGGCGGAACCTGAAAAGGACCCCTGTGCTAAGCTAGTTGCGGGTTGGTCTTTTGCAAAAAGCTGGGGCTCACACGTTTGTGCCTGATCCGGCAAATCCGTCTTATACATTGTACGGAGCAGCTGAACCGACGGTGGAGAGTGCTACGTTGAACTGTCATCCTCGCAAAGCGGGTGTTGACCGAGGGAGAGAGAGATAAGCTATTTAGGTTAAAATGTAGGTGTATGGAGCGTGCACGCTCGTACCACACCGCCAATTCTATGTACATATACATAGACATGTAGATACTATATACAGCATATCCTATATCCCTACATAGGCGTGTATATACCCATATAGATATATATGCCTTTGAGTACTTGAACAAGCATTGAGCCTAGAAGACGTGTTTGTTGTTCAGGGACATACCGAGATATCCTATGCTTTTTTCTTGGCACAACTACATATGCCGCTCGGACGCGGTACCCGTTGTCATAGCCACGCCCTACGTGCAGCGGATCAAATCCAACCCAATCGTGCCGTCTGCTTGGACGATATCGGGCGTTTATACCATTCCATCTGGCCCTTTTTCGTCCAACGCCCCTGGCTTAATCTCAAAAGTGCTGCTCCACTCTGCCTCTTTTTGAATCGGGGCCCCGGAACCTCGGCACTGCTTGACAGGCCCTGGGCTACTAACTTGCGCCTAGCATGGATGGTAGCGCTGCTCGACCTTCCTATTGGGGAGCAGGATAGACAGAACTTCTGTTGAGCCCGCGGGGGACGGTAATCGTAATCTTGCATCGTTGCCAAGTGTTGATATTTCCTAGCGCAACGGCGGATCGTTGCCTGGTTGCAGCAGTCAGGGCAGCAGGGCAGCAGGTTGGTTGCCTTGCTATTATTACACCATCAGGTGGAGAGATCACCTTTGGGTCTTGAAATGCTACTGTACCCAGTAGTATGTATGTACTGTAGTATTTTCTGCAAGCCGGGATAGTAATAGGTACCTACAAGGTCAGGGGGCTTGCATGGCATAACATATAAAAGGGCCTGAGAAGCCCCGGGTCTGAAATCGATCTCTTCTCGCCCTGCTCCAGCGTCCTCACTTATCTCACTCACAATGGCCAAATTGACAGCTCTTGCCGGTCTTCTGACCCTTGCCAGCGTGCAGGCAAATGCCGCCGTGCTCCTCGACAGCCTTGACAAGGTGCCTCAAGGATGGCAGGCTGCTTCAGCCCCGGCCCCTTCATCCAAGATTACTCTCCAAGTTGCTCTTACACAGCAGAACATTGATCAATTGGAATCAAAGCTCGCTGATGTTTCCACCCCCAATTCCAGCAACTATGGAAAGTACCTGGATGTCGATGAGATTAACCAGATCTTCGCTCCCAGCAGCACCAGCAGCGCAGCTGTTGAGTCCTGGCTCAAGTCCTATGGCGTGAGCTACAAGAAGCAGGGCAGCAGCATCTGGTTCCAGACGGACGTCTCCACGGCCAACAAGATGCTCAGCACCAACTTCCACACCTACAGCGACTCTACTGGTACTAAGAAAGTGCGAACTCTCCAGTACTCAGTCCCGGAGGACCTTGCCGACCATATCGATCTGATTTCGCCCACAACATACTTTGGCACATCCAAGGCTATGCGGGCTTTGAGGTCCAAGAACGCAGCCTCAGCTGTCTCAGCCCTGGCTGCTCGCGGAGAGCCTTCAAGCTGCAAGGGAACCATTGTTTTCGACAACCGAACATTCAACGTCTTCCAGCCCGATTGTCTGAGGTCGGAATACAGCGTCAACGGATACAAGCCCTCAGCCAAGTCCGGTAGCAGGATCGGCTTCGGCTCTTTCCTGAACGAGAGCGCCAGCTCTTCCGATCTCGCTCTTTTCGAGAAGCACTTTGGCTATGCCAGCCAAGGCTTCTCCGTCGAGCTGATCAATGGCGGAACAAACCCCCAGCCGCCCTCAGACGCCAATGACGGCGAGGCCAACTTGGACGTCCAGAACATTGTGTCGTTCGCGGCCCCGCTGCCAATCACCGAGTACATTACCGGAGGATCTGCACCATACTTCCCAGACCCTGTTGAGCCAGCTGGAACTCCTGATGAGAACGAGCCTTACCTCGAGTACTACGAGTACCTGCTCTCCAAGTCAAATAGAGAGCTCCCGCAAGTCATTACCAACTCCTATGGTGACGAGGAACAGACTGTTCCCCAGGCATACGCCGTCCGCGTGTGCAACCTCATTGGATTGATGGGTCTTCGTGGCATCTCTATTCTTGAGTCATCCGGTGACGAGGGTGTTGGTGCCTCTTGCCTCGCTACCAACAGCACCACCACTCCCCAGTTTAACCCCATCTTCCCTGTAAGTTTTAAATTACCGCATCTGCCAAATCAATCACTAATAAAGCAAATTTTTTAGGCTACATGCCCCTATGTTACCAGTGTTGGTGGAACCGTCAGCTTCAACCCCGAGGTTGCTTGGGACGGCTCATCTGGAGGCTTCAGCTACTACTTCTCAAGACCCTGGTACCAGGAGGAAGCAGTTGGCACATACCTTAACGAGCATATCAGCGAGGAAACCATCGAATACTACAGTTCTTACGTCGACTTCTCTGGCCGTGGCTTCCCTGACGTTGCAGCTCACAGTGTGAGCCCCGAGTAAGTTTATCTCATCTCATCTATATATTCAAATGCTATCTTGACAGCCACTAACCATTTTTGAAAAGTTATCCCGTGTTCCAAGGCGGCGAGCTCACTCCCAGCGGTGGTACTTCCGCTGCCTCTCCTATCGTTGCCAGTGTTATTGCCCTCTTGAACGATGCTCGTCTCCGTGAAGGCAGACCCGCTCTTGGATTCTTGAATCCTCTGATTTACGGATATGCCTACAGGGGCTTCACCGATATCACCGGTGGTCAATCTGTCGGCTGCAACGGCAATAACACTCAGTCCGGAGGCCCTCTTCCTGGCGTAAGTATACCCTTTTTTTTTTTTTTTGCACCAAATCTCTTGGTATCAAAGCTAATTCTGTATAGGCTGGTGTCATTCCCGGTGCTTTCTGGAATGCGACCAAGGGCTGGGATCCTACAACTGGATTCGGTGTCCCCAACTTCAAGAAGCTCCTCGAGTTGGTCCGATACATTTAGATATTCATTGTCACATATGGTTGCTAGACACAGTAAATAATTAAACTAAATAATGTATAAATATATACGTATATATACACGGCATATATCTGTAGCATAAAGATCCTATATCCGAGCCACTTGTAAGTGATTACATTAGGAAAGATGTATGAAATGCTTACTCTGATCCCAAACTGAGAGGTCCACAACATTTATGGTGCCCCGTGACTGCATTTTTCGACTGGCAATGAGGACAGTCTTATATTTGTTAATGCTGATGGATCAAGTTGAAGGATATTCTGTACTAATCTGTGTTAAACACAATCATTTTGTCACTTCGTAGCAATTACGGAGTACCTTTACTGGCATTACTGTTACCCTCATAAGGCTTATCCTGATTTCCGTATCTACGTACTCCTGGATGGGGAAGTAGTGTATCGAGATGAAGGTCAATAGCTCTAAGTTCAGTTTCCAAAACTTGGCGTGGCTACTTCCTTATATCGCATGTATTTATTTACGCGCGGTATCAAGAAAGAGGTACTCTTTTCAGGCTTTTGGATATGAAAATCCTGTTGTTTACTTCTCAGACCTTTTTCTTTTTCCTCGTCGTCCACCACCACCACCACCACCACCACAACAACAACAACAGCAGCATCAGCAGCAGCATCAGCAGCAGCATCAACATCAGCATCAGCATCATCGTCAGCAGCAACAACAGCAACAACAGCAGCAGCAGCAGCATCAATGTAAGTCGTATTCTCTACTATACTTGTAGGGGTCATTTGAAGTCACAATCGCCCCCCGGCGTCGCTGCTATGGGTTTAAGTCTATCTTTGGGTTTTTCCTGTAGACGTGATACTAATATGGCTACTGTCATATGCCACCCCCGCTGCTTTTCTGGCAGGTCACCGTTTGCGCTGCCACCTCCGCCTCCTCACCGTGGCTTCGGCCAGTAAATAACGTAAGTATATAGGCTGTTTCTTTTCTTCAATTCAACACTGCACACCTCACCTTTTCACATTCACAGGCCAATGAAGCTATGTTAAGTAACAATAGCAGAGGCGTCAGGGCCGGAAAGTTTCGGCTGTGACCCAGGACTTTAGTCGGGCACCTTTTCGTGGTGTCCTGGATAAGTAAGCTTGCTGAAACTAAGACCCGACTATGGTGATGGGTGAATCGAGTTGGAGGGAATAGGGGTTCTGAACGGGTCTGTTATATAGTGATTTGGGGTTGGTGGCTATAGATGTTGAGTATGCAAAAAATTAGCTTCGATTATGGGATGAACGAACCTTGAGTGGTATGTACATTTGTTCATTCCGAATTTGCCGTAGCGAAACATGTCGGATGACCACCTCCGGGAGCTCTAGGAGGAGCATCGCATCGCCGTGACATTGTACTTGGTCGCCGCCAATAGTTTCGTAAATCACTCTCATTCTATGTTGTGAGGTCTCAGACGCTAGAGATCGCCAAGCTTGAATGACGGAAGGCTGTAAAAGAAACTCCCAAGTACCCTTCCAAGTAATGGTAGAAATCTGACCTTGTTCTTTGGCGGGTTCATACTTGAAGAGCGCGGCAAATTTCTTTCGTCCATTCCAAATTTGCAATGTTTCAAGCTTTGGCATATAAACGGCCACTCTTGCTGCTGCTTGAAGCATATTTGTAACTCGTGTCGTATCTTGATCAGGCGCCAACAACTGTGAAGTAAGGAACAGATGTCTGAGATTGGGCCACGTTTTTCGAGGTTGACTTTCGTCCAAGGCAAAGAAACCATCTGCGTCCACCATGAATGATGCTGAAAGAGATTCATAATTGGTACTAATCTCAGAGAGGATTCGACTAAGAGTAAGATTTGGTGAACGAATGCGTGAGCAATCCATCTCCAAGTAAGCATGCACGTAGCGCTCGTTAAAATTCTCGAAAAGAGTGAATCTATTCAGCCTTCGAATGCTGGGGGACTCAAGGAGAGTAAGGTAACCTAGGGAAAAGAAATACAATGTATTAGTGAATGTGTGCTTATAAGATGGTAATAAAGGTTGTTGTTGAGCAGTACGCTTGGGGAAAATGCTGTCTTACCTAGGTCTGTAGTTTCCTGGAGCAAGTTATCCCACTCCCTCCATGGTTCAAAGTGTAGCTCACACAATCTCGGAAGTCGGGCGAGCATTTCAGCAATCGCTTCAGGTTCCCAGCGCCGGCGGGTTTGTTGACGCAAAAGTAGACGCGTGATGGCCGGTACCGGTGGTAACTCTCTCCACCATTCAAGATGGTCCGTCTGTTCATCCTCGAATTCCCCTGACGGATCGCCCAATATTCGGGTGAAGACGTTCTGGACAGCAGACTGAGCCGTGATAATGCCCCAACCAGTAGTGTCCCATCGATGTCGTGCATCATCAACTCCGCATGGAACTGCCTGATTGAACCGTGAAACATGAGAATAACCTTGATTCGATGAAGCATCGTCTTCATCATCGTCTGGTTCAAATGCGAGATACTTGAACCAATGCTCTGGATCACTGGTTGAGTAGACACTAATATCGAGTGACACAGAGCTGCTTCGGTCCCAGGAGCTCAGGACTAAGAAAAGAGATTGAATGGATGTCTTGATTAGAAGATCGTCTGCGGCGTTGTTGAACATCGGAACTTCATCATCTTCACCATCAGCAGAACAGGTGCCACAATCGTAGCGTTCTAATTCCAAGCAAAGCCACAGGTGCCTTACATGAGACCGATTACGACGGGTCATGTCATCAAGCTCGGCGATGCGTGACGGGGTGAGTTTTATCCGTTTAAATGTCTGTGGCTCGATCACTGCCTGCCACTCTCGCGACACGGCAGCAAAGCACGCCAGATCGCGGCCATCTTTCACCAGAGCTTCGAGTATCATGCGCCTGACCTCTGTAGGCAGGTTGGGCAAGGGCATTGTTTCGAGTAGGAGATCGGAGGTAGGCGTAGAAGGATTTGATGAAATTGAGATTGGTCCTGCAGCTCTGGAACCTGACGGTGATATATATATATATACCCAGTAGTTGGGCTAATCTAACTTTGGATGTAAGCCACAAGGTAGCAAATTCAACAATTCGGCCCGCGAGAACTGTTAGTTTTAGCCATGGCCAACCTATTAGCTGCAACAACAATAACATTTAATCCAGAGTCCTTCCTTGTGTAGGTTAGCCTTTTATTTTCTTTTTAGTATAAAACCTTTTTATTAGTATTAAAGTTAATTCTATCTAGATAGATATTATTCCAGAAGCTTTCTGAATATTGTTAAGGCCGGGGTTTATTACTAGATTTATGAAATGATATTACTAGACATGGTTAATAATTAATATATCCATACATGAGATCTGCTTGTTTCCCTTATGTTATCTTGGTTGGAAATTTGTCAATGTGACTATTATTATCTTGGTCGTGGTGTTTTGAACAGCCGTGATAGTATCTAAGCCAATCGATTCTCCAAAATATTGTAATCTAAAGTAACTCATCGCGTTCGTCAAGAGTAAAGCTCCAACGTTTTACACTCTCATTGTTCAACTCTCTAGAGAATCAAGATCCAATTCATGGTAAGTGGTTCCATTTGTTAACGAAGCAATCGGCGGTGATTTTAATGCGCCTTGCCGCTGCACATTCCATGTAATAAAGACGTGGAATTCTAGAACTGGCTATTTCGTCGTAATAAGCTCCTTTATGCATTTACTATTGGGCTGCTTGCAAGATGTGGTGGCTTGGGTCTTATTGGTGGACGTTTAGGCTTTAGTGCAACGGGGAGCTGATCTGTCTTTGGGGTTAAAGGGCCCAGAGTTCCATCTGTTGGTGTATGTCCTTGCGGCGTCAGTGGAGTATCCCGGCTTCCTGTTTCCTCCAGAGCACTGTCTTCTAGTGTTTCCACAGATGAGCTCTCAAGTTGTGGACTATTGCTGCCTCGTTCAGTCCGCGGCGGTTTTAGAATTCGGACCTTAACCTTCATATCGTTCGTGATCCGTCGAATGAGGCTTTTTCGTTCATTTTCTGTCGAGCCATCTGCCATCGGAGAAGATTGATCCTTGATCCCCCTCGGAGGATTTGAATTTTGATTTAAGGGCGGAGTTCTGGGCATAGCTTTGGCTTTTTCGACCCAGATCATAAAGTTGATGTTGGTTTTTTGTATGATAGCGAGAATTTGCCTGAATTTCTCGTCCTTCGTCAAATCGCTAACCGATGTCAGGATATCCACTATGGAGTTTACGGCATCTCCTATTATGCGACACATGAGTACGAAAGGTACAACAAGTATATGTTGTGAAACTGGTATTGGGCAGAGATTGAAAGACACATGAATTGTCATAAGATCCGGGATTTTTCCAGTGGATCAGATCTTGAAAGACATTTACCATTATATAGCTTAATATCAACTCTGCGCAGATTTCAAGAATATAATATAGCAGCACAAAAAAGGATAGAAACAAAAAACATACAACAGCCGGTGTTCGCTGATGGTCACCCACTCAACTACTAATCTGCCTCTCATTGGCTTGACTCTGGGAGAGCAGACGGGATCCCGTATTCTCCAATGGATATGGTCGTATGTGAAGGGAGGATCTTCTTAACCTTCTCATATACCACATCACAATATCGAAACATAAACATTAAAAAATTCGAAAAAACATACAACAGCCGGTGTTCGCTGATGGTCACCCACTCAACTACTAATCTGCCGGTTAGTGGCTTGTCTATGGGGGAGCAGACGGGACCCCGAATTCTCCACTACCTATGGTCGTATGTGTTTGGGTTAAAGCTATTCCCATCTCATATGACAATTGCAGTTGTGCGTCGCTTAGCAACTGTAGTGGTAGTAGTAGTACTTATATGCTGTTCGGTGGGCCGGGGTTGAGGCAGGTTGATTGGCTCATGGCGCGAGCCGTGTCCCGATTTGGACTCGGTTCATAGCTGAATTTGTCATGTGGGGCGACAATCACTGTGAAACACTAGCCCTACAAGATGTGTCTGCGTTTGGAAGCCAAGATGAGGGCAGATGGACACGCTGTTGCGCTCCATATGCACGGATTGCGACGGATTTCGAGCACAGCCACAGCCCGCGCTATCATACCAAGAGATACCAAGAGGAGGGCCAAGAAGAAGACAAAACGGCCTGGGCAATAGTGAACGAAGGGACTTGGTGTCTGACAAAGGCTGTGTCCGCTGTGCTGGTGAAGCTACTTGTGCTTCGATGGATTTGCCGTTGAGTGGGGGAAGATGGCACGCCGTCCCCAACCTGCGTGAACTTGGTGCCGATTCTAGATCGTGCCTGGGCGTTGGTTGTTGCGATTCATGAGATCTCCCCGCCGCAGAGACACCCGTGCCTGAGCTAGCCGCCCTATTTCGTCCACAAACTGATGGTGTATCAAAAATAGGAACTACAGGCACTCTTTGGTCAGATTATAAGAGGAAAGTAAGTTCAAGCTTGTCATTTCTTTTTTTCTTTTGAAAAAAAACTTTCTTTGTGCCCAGAGCAATCGAGCTGGTGTGCGGCATTTATCCAGTCTTGGCTCAATAGCCAGGCTCTCTTAGTACCAAAAGGGACATGTAGTCTCCAAAAGGGCTTACTACTACTACTAGTTGATGTTTTTTTTTTTTTTTTTTTTGATGGCGGCTGAACTGGTCTCCTAGGACATCCTCGGCTGGGGCACCACGGCTCGGCGCCTTCGAGTAGTGTGAAGCTGTGATAACGGCCCTGCCAGTCAGAGACGAGGAGGGGCAACAGGAAACTGTCAGAGCTCTCGGCGAGAAGCCGTGTTCGTATCAGTAGTACACAATCGTACGATTTACGTATATGTACGGTGAGTTACGAGGATTCACGCCGGGCAATCCCTACCTTACAATGACATCTCAGCTGGCGCCTCGTTGATCGATGTTGCGGGCCTCAAATGCTGATACAGTTCAGCTTGTTACTAACCCTGTGGGTGGAGCCTTGGTGCTGGCATGCCCCGATCGTACCGAGTCCAGATCGTGGCAGATGTGGGCATCGACTCCCACGAGCGTGCTCAGCTGGGCTGTGGCCAAGAGTCCCTCTCCATTCTCATTGGCCTCTTGTTCAATGACCACCGGCTTTTGCCCTGAAATTGGTTAGATGGCTCCGTGCACTATCGCGGGCTCCCTTGCATCGCTGGGACTATTGGTTCAAGGCCACGATACAGACCCTTGTCCGGAATTTATTTCATGCATACGCGATTCTGCTCTTGTCTTATAGCTTAGAATGCACAAAGACTTTTACATGGACTTGCTCTAGTACTGTACGCTGTCTCCATCCCATCATGCATTCATGGCCGTGTCTAGTTCTATTAGTCCCATTGCCCAGCCTATCTCTTCCGTGCGCTTAACCGATGCGTCCTATAATAATAAATATGCCGTATCAGTCGATGGGGTTTCCCCATTTTCTCCCCCCCGTCTGCGTTTTGATTTTGGCATTTCGCCTCCATAATTCCCCCCGGGCAGTGTCTGAATCCTTGATGCCTGGAAGTATGCCTCTCGTTTGATTCACCGTCTTTCTTCTCTCTTTCTAGTTGTAGGCGACGTCGCCGGGATCCCAGAGTGAAACGTACAGAGAAAACGCGCGGCATCAGAACGCAAAAATGTCCATACCGACGACGACGCAGCAGCTCCTGGACGAGTATACCGGCAAGGTTGTGCCGTACACGTTCAATGGAGGGTTCGTGTGTCTAAGTTACGCCATCAGCCTGATTGGAACCAGCACCGCGCTGGAGTTGATTAGACGAAGAACTTCACACAGAGGAAGGCATAATTTGTACGAGTCTTGCACCTTTTGATGCCGGCCGCCAGGTAGCTGACACCGAGAAACAAAGCTTACTACTAGTCGGCGCTGCCATCGCAATGGGTGGCATTGCCATCTGGTCCATGGTACGACCACCGTGTGGGAAACATCCATGATGATAACCAGGTCTTTTCAATGCGTGTCGAGTTTGCTAACGCGGTGAACGAGACAGCACTTCATTGGAAACCGAGCCATCTACATGCTCCACGGCGAGGGAGCCTTCCAAATCGCCTATTCGACCGGCCTTACCGTCGTGTCTCTCATGATGCCCATCCTTGTGCTCGTGCTCGCCTTCCTCGGCGTCAACGGCAACAGTCGAATTCGATGGTGGCGAATTGTGTTCGCCGGATTGCTCTCTGGCGGCGCCATTTGCGGCATGCACTATCTTGCCAACTCGTCCATCAGCAACTACCGGAGCTCATATCGGCTCTCCTATCTTATTGGCTCCGTCGTCATTGCCGTACTTGCCAGCACCACGGCCCTCACCCTCTTCTTCGTCTTTGAGAATACCTGGAGTAGCGCCTGGTGGAAGAGACTGGGTTGTGCCATGGTCCTGGCCGGAGCCGTGTCCGGCATGCACTGGTGCGCCGCTGTTGGAACGAGTTACACCCTGTTGCGCAACACGCCTGGAAAGGGGGCCTCACGTAGGGATGCAATGGTTGTCGTTATTTGTCTGGTAAATCTCTTTAAAAATCTGCGGGGGCGTCAAGTGAATGCAGTTTGAAGGCGCCGAAGCTGACCGAGCCCAATGGCATATGTAGTCTATCTCTGCCGGTGTTGTCATGACCGGCATGGCCATCTATTCGAGTTGGGTGAGACGAGACTACGCTCGCAAGTCGCAAAAGGTCGTCCTGGCTGCCGGTGTCTTTGACGACAGGGGTCGCATCATGGTCTCTCAAGACGGATATTTGCCCAGCGAAGTCGTGACAGACACGTACTTCGCAAAGGTCAGTTACTTCTTCCCTAACGCCGACCTGCCCGCAGAAAATTGACATGCCATGCTTCGCCAGTCCAACGACGACGTCTTCAATACCAGCCACCCCCTCTTTCTCTGGATGTTCCGTGCTTCTCGCAACTGGGACACCATAACAAAAGTCATGACCAAGATGACCAGCCACATTTCGTTTCTCGCGCAGGAGCATAACAATGGCAGGGCAGGCGTCCGGCTCATCAGCGATGATGGTGAGCTCGTAGATGGATATGACACCATTCTGCACGAGTTGTTCTGCGTCTCTGCGGGCGCTCTGGCTTCCAAAACCAAAGCGACTCTCATTAGCGCCGGAACATTATGGGACGAAATTTTCGTAACGGGAGAGTCATCAAGGGCACCTGGTCCGGCTCAAAGCCTACCTAATAACGACAGCCCCGGCCTACAAGGTGCCGCAGAAAAAGGAATTCAACAGAATGGCCTGGAGTATGGCCGCGGTTCGCTCATGTTCCTCGTTCGCAAGGTTGACAGCAAAAAGGAGGTACCGAGGCTTGAGGCTTCAGGGTTCCGCTTCGCAGAGATTCACCAGGTTGCGGGCTTTATTCGATCTAGCATGCATATCAAGACACCCGACCTGGAGACTCGTCTACGCAACATGTCTAGCCAGAAAGACAAGACCAGCATGCTATCTTCCGGCTTGCATGTGGGCATGTTTGCCGTCCGCGCTCGAATCGACAAGGGCGGCTTCGACGTGCTCGTGCAAAAGACAGCCCGAAATCTGCTTCCTTCTGTTCCGTTACCCGTGGACACTCTTGATTCTAGCAGTGCTAGCTTTCTCAATGGCCTTCGTGGCTTGCCGCTCTCGACTGTTCTGCTCAGACTTCAGAACCACCAGTCTACTTCTGTTCAGGGTCGCATGTTTGCTTCGCTTCTTTGTGATGCCGTTTCCTCGCTGCGAAACTCTCTAGGCGACGAAATATTTAATGAGGCTACACTCTTGTCCAAAGAAGTGAAGCTCCCATGTGCTCCCTCTACACAGGGCAAATCCCTTTCCAAATGTACCCTCATTGCTTTCAAACTCTTCCTACCTATTCATGCCACTGTACTCTCACCTGATTGTGAATTCACGCCTCTCAACTTCTTCAAAATGCGCCAACTTATATATGATGGCTCGTCTCACAACATTGAGTTTTCCCACATGGTTCATCGCGATATATCCTCAACAACACATCAACTATCTCCACGGCAATACAGCGCCGCAACCCAAATGAATAACAAATACTTTTCCCGAGCTGTTGGTAAGGTCAGGGATAACTTGCCCGGCAACGAAAGGCGTGCGGCGGCCATTTCATTGCCGCCTACAAGGAGCCAGGAACGGTTATCCAAGGTAGCGTCGCATCCCAGCTCGCTGTACAACGGTGACGATGGCAGCTTCGATGACACTCGCAAGCTCTCATCAACAAGCCAACTCTACGCCGGCAAGGACTCCCACAGGGATCAGGATAAGAAACTTCATATCTACGGCGGCATCATGGTATCAAAAGAGGTATCAATTAACGTCCAAGATGTAAGTGACAGCACGGCCCACCTCATGTTCCTTTCTCGAATCAAATATCTAACTGCCACTTTCCAAACACAGGACCAAGAAGACTCAAATCCTCCAGAGCAACAGGGCTCAGAGCTTAAGCCTATGCGGCTCCGATCCGATACCCAAGGCAAGATGGAAGGTTTCTACACTGCTACTGCGACGGGCGAGAGCGGCTTTGCTGGCCAGGGGAAGCAGGAGGAATCTGCCTTTGTAGACGAGCTCCTCGCTCTCAGTATGCAAGCGGACAAGCGGACGACTGCGTAATTTGTTTTGTTCTAGCACTATTTCATTCACACGCTAATGACTGGACTTTTCTACTTGTAATATGATGGATATGAGGGTTATATGGAGTATATAATGCGGGTTTGAGCGAGTCGTGTATTGGAATTATAATTGTACAAAAGCTAGGTATTTGGCACTTGAGACATTCCATAAATTTTGTATTAATAAATAAAGGTTTGGAACTTATTACGGTGCTTTTGAGTCACTACCTATATGCCGATCAAGCTTAGTTCTTAATCAATCATTGGCATCGTCAAGCTCGTAATAAGCGATTATTATGTGCTGCTAATTTGTCATACTGCACCCTGCAAAGGGCAAGACCGTGAAAGAGACGATTATGCTAGGGCTGGGACTAGGCCTTTACCATACTTGTGAACCCCCAAATTACCCAGTCGTTCGAGTTATCACGAAACTTTTGTTTCGTCGGACAACAAGATTTGATAAATTTAGTATACCTCGGTGTATTACTCTCGCTGGCGCTGGCAATGTACAGACTTATTTATTTTGCTAATATATGTACTTGCCCAGTATTTATGGGCATAAAGCAGCCCAACAGGCCTGCTGCTGTGAAGACTGAAGTTTAATGCCTTATCTATAAAAACAAACTATCTTGCTCCACATTCAATACGATGCATGGCCGAAATGGCGTTCAAGCGGAAGTTTGGGTGATTCCGCCCTGATAGTTGGTGATAGGCTTCCGAATATTGCGGCCAAACTCGGCAGTAAGCTATTAATATTGACATATATTCCAATGAACCGCTACACAAACGTTTAATACGAGGTTATTTTTTGTTGTTGTATTGGGAAGTATTTGTTGAATTTGAAGCGTCGCAGAAACTTTGTGCTTATAGGCTCTGCGCTCCAGAACTTTGCGCCTCTGCAAACAATAATAAATAGAATGTACTGGGGATCTACAAATTCACTGGCTTCCCCCATCTGTTGTCCGACGTTCTCTCACATCTGTACACACAGGGAAGAGGGGGAAGGTAAGTGGGCTCATGCCTGTTGGATGTTGGATAGTATCTGTTCTTTTCAATATTCTGACCTCAGCCTAAGCGGGGGGTTAGGCTGAGGTCTGCTTGGAGATCTTTAACGACTCCATCATTCATGGAGGGCGGAGCGTTCCATTTTCCCATTGATGGCCCGTGATGAGACCTTCGGGGGGGACTGAGGCCATCTGCTCTTTCATACAAATACGACCAATGCCTAAACGAGAGGTGGGGGGGGGNGGGGGGGGAGTCGAGTGGCCTCTTGTTTTTGTTATTTGCACACATCCATTTCACTTCGTTACTCGCCTGGTAAAATCTATGGCAGTGTTATCTCCGTTTTACTTGTGGAATGCAAAAGATGGAAGACACCAAACTTAAGAAAAGAGCTTGGCGCGACCCCGAATTTTCCACTATGGTCGCATGTATCTGAAATATAACAGCTTTTGATTATAGGAGAATTGCTTAGCACTCTTGCTGTGGCAAAATCACTGAAGAATGAAGATGGGTGGCCTCGCTGTAGCCTACTTGACGGTATATGTGGCTGTGTACATGCACTTGGGCTCAAGTAAAGGTCCGAAGTCTGACAATGAGTCACTGTTGATTCGGATAACGCCCTTCCTAGAATTTTACAGCAAACTAACTTCCAAATAAATTCTTCATCTCTGACTCCCAACTGGGTCCCTTTAACCTCTACCTATATACAATCATTTTACCATCCACTTGCATGCCACTTAAAATTGCAGACGCCGGCGAACTACACTGTAAGTTGTTTCTCAAAGAGTACAGATAGGGAAAAACCCAAGTTTGGAGTATACATTATATGCTAACCCATGCTTGAGAAATCTCGACATGGCGTCCGATCGAAGCGCTGAACAAGGGCCACAATTTCAATTTTGTGGCAAAATTATCATTCTGAACGGCTTTCCTGGTGCAGGAAAATTCACTATAGCGACTAAAATAAGGATTACTTTCCTGAAAATACAGTCCGCCTCATCGATACCCACATACTTATTGATCCAGCTCAGGCTATTTACCCTGACAGGAGTGCAGCACATCATGAGCTGCGCCGGAAATTTCGTGCAGTTGCTTTTGATGCCATTCGGAAGATCGCGGAAGAGGGCAAAACAATCTTGATGACGGCGTGCCTTGCAGACAATGCCGCAGATATCAGCACTTTTGAAGAGCACATCTCCATGGTCCGCAACACATCTGTGCCTATTTACTGGATTAATCTTAGATGTGACGGAAGTGTTTTAGAAAAGCGTGTTACAAGTAAGGAACGGCGAGAGGGGAATAAAAGCAAATTGACAGATGCTAGCATCCTGCGACAGATGATAGGGGAACATGGACTTTTAAGCCCGCGCCAACATGACAATACCGTGCGGCTAATCGCAGATACGATAGATGTAAGCAGGACATTAGAAGAATCAGTTCACCAGCTCCTACATATACTACATCGCCAATATTAATGTAAAAATTCGCTGTTTCTAGCCGCTAAATATTTCAGAGCTGGTAAAAGGTGGCATCTTAAACGAATGATCTTATTGTTAGGCATCAGACCCTGGACTAATATCAAGGTAAAGGAAAAGGCAAGAGAAAGTGTAGCTCCCCACAAGCCATTGCAGAATCCAATGATGAGAGCTCCGACAACAACGAAGTGCAAGCATTTATCGCTAACTATGCACCAACCACCGTTGGACAACATGACCCTCGAGAACCGGACGTCGTTGACCTTACCCACAACAACGAGATACAGGCATACACGGTAAATCTCTCTCCCCAATCTATCTCAACGTACACGTCTTCATCGGCAACGTGGATCTTCGATTCCGGTGCTTCTCGACACATGTCCGGATGCCACACCGATTTCGTTGATCTACGACGACCGCGGACTGGTACTACATCCAACGCCGTGGGTGCTGCTCCGTTGTCGCGGGCGTGGAGAGGACAGGACGTGGGGTTGTATTTTCAACGACTCCCCAGAGCTCTGCGTAACGAAATGCAATGGTCCACGCCGCTCGCCACTCAGCATAGTTATCTCCCCGGCTGTTCAGCTGTGGGAGGCTCGAGGGATCGAGCTTGAAGGTGAACGCATTGTTTGAACATGTGTTGTAGAGCTAGTTGTTAGATTGAGTGAGTTTGGGCAATGTTGTCGTGGACAGCGTTGTCAACGATGCGTTCGTTGAAGTTCTTGGATTTGTATTATCAACAGGAGATCAAGAAAGTTAGGTTAATAGGTTAGCGGAGCGGCCGGGCTCACAACCTGTTTCTAAAGGCTGAAGTTACATGAGGTAAAGTTCGCTGGCTTCCAAAAATAGGGGCACTAGATTCCAAGAGTGGAGGACCTGAGCTTCAAAAAATGCAGCCATTGAACTCAGAGCTAGATCTTGACGGGACCCCGAATTCTTCACTACCTATGGTCGTATGTGCTTGTATTGCGATGGATCCCTTACAGTCTTTGCATTTAGTATTTTACCACATGCTATCAATTTTGTAGCTCTTGAAACTATGAATTTGGCGCTACGCCTAGCTACTTTATCCAGGCCCTGAAGTGCTCCTCAATCAAGGTAAACTCAGGGCGACGGACTGGTGGACACTGGGGATCTTTCTCTATGAGATGTTTACGGGGTTGCCACTTTTCTTCGATGAAAACACCGATGAGATACGTCGTAAGATCCTTGGCTGTAAACCTATCCAAATTTCTGAGGTGCTTCCCCCAACCGCCAGAGATATTATATTATAATGAGGCTCCTCGAACGCAAGCCTAGTCATCGTTTGGGAGCTAAAGGAGGAGCATTCGAAGTTAAAGAGCACCTGTTCTTCGCCGGCATTGATTGAGTTATGCTCCTCCAGCGAAATTATGCACCTCCATTTAAGCCAGAATTCTGTCTTGGGAACAGCGACTTTCCACAGCATGGAGTCCAGCACCATGTCTAGCTGGCCCTTCAGGATCGCAACGAAGACACTCAATTCTTTTCAATCGAGATGCTGCTAAAAGATCCCAAGCCGGAAAGCAACTTGGCCTTTGAAAGCGACGACGACGCTGCTCTAACACCTGAGTCTAGCCAAGAAAAATCCGTTCAGGAGGCGGATAATAAGAGTGATGATGGCTGGGAGCTCGTATAGAAAGAGGATGCTCCTTGGGAGCTTTACTTCCGCCATCGTGCTACAGGGGATAAAAAGTCAATTGCCGCTCGAGCCGTGGTCTCGTCGAAGAAGAAGAATGGTAATGATGATGATGTTGTTGTTGTTGTTGCTGCTGCGGCACTCAGTGGCGGTCCCAGCACAAGCCAGAAGCAAGATGCACTCGAGGCAGCTTTGCAGGCGGGTCATGACCACCTTGTCTCACAGATTATATCATACGGCATGGATTTAAATATACGCCTCTTTGGCTATAGATTCACAAGCCCCTTAGATTGGTCAGTGGACCGTAAGAAGCTATACCTAGTGCGGCTCATGCTCGATAACGGTGCTGATGTGAGCTTCCCGGGCTACGGGCTTCAAGAAGGGGATCAATGCGGCCCAGTATTAGTCAGGGCCATGGCAACAGGAGATCAGAAACTCGTTGAGCTCCTATTGCAGAGTAGCCCGGGCCCGGTGGACTCGACGAGAGCACTGGGGCTCGCTGTTGATCGACGAAATAGTACCATGGCTCAACTGCTGCTGGTAAATCGTGCCCAGTGTGACTTCCAAGATGAAGATCGGCCTTTGCCTCATGCTCCCGGCAGTGGCTGTTGCTTTGAAGATATATCCCAGCCAGAAGCATTCATGCCTCCACTCGTTCGAGCCGTTCATCGAGGCGATGTTAGCCTGGTGCGGCTGCTGCTTAGGAATGGAGCGAATGCCAATGTCGGATACCATGATTTTCATGCGGATCTTGGGGTAAAGTACATCACGTTTTCGTGCGGTAGAGTGATCCAGTTAGCTATAGAGTTGGGGAGACATGAAACGATCAAACTCTTGCTCGCCGCCGGCGCAGACATCAGTCTTGCCCATGGTACCGGGCCACAGTTGTTGGGAGGTATCAAAGGCTTTCTACCAGATCACGACGAGTATGTTGAGGGTAGCCGTGGCCTCAGCAAGGAAAACACAAGGAATGATTAGCGTAGAGTGCCAGCATCAAGTCTGATCCAAGGAGAGAATGAGTCGGACTTTTGACTGGGCCTCATCAGAATCAGAACTCAGGGATAACAAAGATAAACGGACTTCAGCTAGTATCCTGCCCGGTGGTGGCAACAGGGTTAAAAGGGTAAGTCTCTGGTTTTTATTCTGCTAAGCAAATGATAGTTCAACCCAACCATCGCAAGGAAGCTCTCCTGAGAGCTACTGCCTTCGAGTCCTTATGACGTGCTGTAAAACTACAAATTCTTGTTCAATTCGTATAAACCGGTAGCGTAAATACATATCAGAGCACTGTGATGGACATTTGGCTGAGCTGGTGAGTTATGTAATCTTTCAGAGGTTGTCGCTTCTCAGAGTAAAAAGAGTTGTTCAGCTTGGTGCGCGATGCTGAATTGGCAAAATCTATTAAAGTCCGCTCCTGAAGATGCATTTCAATTTTTCAATCTGTTAAGCAAATATTACATAAATCACTGCACGCCTCTTTCTTTGTGCTACAGTAATACAACCCCTTGAACAAGCATGACGACCAATAAGGCGCGCCCTATGGATTTATTTGCTAGAGTTCTGGACTGAACATATACATTGAAGTATATTTCAAGCGTGATTTTCAGACGTCTCTACTATGCCAAAGCCTGAAAATGGTTTCAGTGGTTCATTCCATGCGGAAACTATTTCCGTAAAACACACGCTTGGAGCCTTCAATTCAACTTGAAATTGATGAAACAATCGTATATATCCAAGCACAATCATGCATTAGTCTCTGTAGCTCACATGCAACGGCCACATTGTTAATCCTCCGATATTCTCCGTGAAAAATTCAAATTCTTGCCCCTGGCTGGTTCTGCTCCGTGTCCACAGCAGTGATCACGACAGATATCTCCACCCTCAGAACACCTAGGTGTTTGACGCTGTGTAATAGTATTAGACGCTTAGTGCTGGGCGCATGGATCAAGGCATTACATATGCTACTAAGATATTAATCTCGTGTTAGTTTTGCTTTATTTGTATTATACACGACCCCCCCCCCCCCAAAAGGAGCGTGAGTGACGACTGGGTGCCAATAGATTGTATTCGTAAAATACACTAGAGTTAGGCGGCTTTGCTATTTAGAGGGTCTGTATATGGTTACGTACTATCATTATAGATAGGTAGTTGATCAACAAATGGTGTTTGAACTTGGCAGTCAGGATAAACCATACGAGAGGGGAATATGATAAGGGGTTCCTCATTCCAATGGCTATTTACGCCTGTGTTATTTGACAAACTAGGTAACTTTTTAGATAATCAATGAACTCGATCTCAAGACCATAGAAAATAACCTCGGCAGTTTATTGGAATAAGAAAAGTTGTGAAACCGGAAAAGCAAGCAGGGGCCAGACTGTGCGACGGTGAGAGCGACGACGGTCTACGCGACTACTATCGAAGTGCTACTGATTTAGCAACATGTTATCTTGGCAAGAACCGGTAGCTGGTCCTTGAGATGGAGTGATTTTTCTTTTGCCATTCTCGGTAAGTAGAGGTAGCCTGGCCAGGCTTTCGGAGAACAGGCATCACCGCCTTTTGGAATTTGGCTTGGATCGGGATACGGCCTGATGGTACATTCAGCTGAAGCCACAGGCTGGTCTGGTATCTACGGAATCTACAGATATTACAACGCATGACTCAGAAAAAAAAAATCATCAAATCCACGTGGCTGAGGTGTGTACTTTAGCTAGGTAGAATAGCTTTGAGCAGTCTCTGGGTTGTCGCCAGCCGCCGCCTTATCCACAATGATGCTGTGTTTGCTGTTGATAACACAAATGATTTCGTGCAATCAGCAAGATGTATGAAATTGGCCGAATTTAGACGAACAGCCGCTGATATGCGGCATCGCCGAGCATGGCCAAGGGGGGGTTTAGTGGCATTCGTCGTCGATTGTGTTATTGGCGCCCTTTTGCAATCTTGCTGTGCGCTTCCGTCGAGTAGGTATTAGTCTGGTAGCCAGGCTACCAGCGACCCATAGTCTGCATCTCGGATGTCGTGAGCGCAATTGCGCTGACCACGCGGCACATACACGTACTAGTCATGTACTTTTGTGGTGAATATTGAGCTGCAGCAAATCCTGAGCGGCCGCATTATGCAGCTTTTAAGCAGCCTCAAAAGCAGCCAAATAGACGAGGCAAGAGACGGCAAACAATGCAACACGGCTCGAGACTCGTGCCGAGGGAGGGCTGCCATGGATGTTAGCCGGAGATACGGGCGGACCATTATTGCGAGCAGGCAGCGCGATAAGTCATCAAGTTTCTGGTTCTAGACTCGGTCGAGCAGTGGCCGAGTCGTCGGCAAATGGCAGATGAAGATCTCCCCGCTCCTTGGCTGGCGTTAGCGGGCGTGGGGATGGAGCTGGAGGCGCTTTGCAGCAGCCTAGCTTCTGGCTAGAGCACTGGTGGCGAGGCGAATGACTTGTGCTTGTGTTGCTCCCGCAGCTAAAGAAGAGAAGCAAGTTAAGCTTGAAGCCAGCCACCCGTCGCGGCGGCGGTACTTGGTGCTTGTACCTTCGATTTCCTTTGCTGTGCCCCAACGCCTGAGATTTCTGGCAACTCTGCCCGGCTTATCACCAACGCAAATGCCGCGGGGATCATCGCCATCTCTGATCCTTTTTGCGTTTTCATACAGTAGCCTTTTATCACAGGCTCTGCCAGAACAGTATCGAGTACATGCGGCAGTTGTTCAATCTCGCTTGCAGGCAATTAATCCGGCTCACCTTGAAGTATGGATGCGAAGATACGAAGACACGCGTATCTGCAGCCTTCTCTTGCTTGGGCGGCCTTCGGACATATTTCATCCTTGTGCGCCTCTCTTTTGTCCCATGAGATTTGCCTGCAGCCACCCAACAGACAGGCGGGAGCGCGGGCAGAACGTGGCATGGAAATGGTCGCACACAGCTTTAGGGGCTTCCGTCTCAACCAATCTGGACACGAGAGACCGTCACTGCTCGGTAATGAATCTACCAAGAACTCACCAGCAGACGCCGTCTCATTTACTGACTTGGAGTCAACAGGTACCATTAGCTGGCGTATTAGCATAACGGACGCCCGAGGCCATCGCTTATCTTAGCAGAGACGACAACGTGGGGGAACTTAGCTGTTTTTACTACGGTAGGTTTGGCTCTGTACCTACCAGTACCCCAGCTTCGCTTCTCGGCAGCCAAAGAGGGTGAGCAAGTAGTGGTGCTGGCGATACTTTCTGTCTACCTGTAGCTTCTCGCGGCTCTTCTCATCGTCGTGGTACCGTGACATCAGCAAGGTTTCCGTTCCCGATCATCGTCTTCGGGTGCTTCGGGAGCCAACTACTCAAAAAAGCAAGCAGCAGGCTGTCTCAGCAGCTCTGGATTACCTGTAGTGGCCTCTTCTCTGGGATGGAGATATGACGGCTGTCTGTGCATGAATCGCGCACAAGGCTTGTGTGAAGAGTCTCCTGGCAGCTAGTGCTTGCAAGTTGCAACCACAGGCCCGTTAAAGCCATCTTTCGGACCGCCCATGCGCTGATTGGACGTCGAGGTGAAGCCAGTTTGTCGTCCATGCTTACCCACTAGGGCCAGGAACACACCACGACTCGCTCCAACACAGGCGCTAATTCTAAGCCCTGATGGAACGAATCTTCTAAGGCTTCCGAGCTACAGCGCAAGAAGTTAAGGGTCGGATATTAAACCCTGCTTGGATGTTCAAATTTGGACAAACATTCCGTACAAGTAGGTAGCTGCTCTCTCCTGGGGGACAGAAAACGACTGCCTGACCATATGTTGTGTGTGCGGTGTGCAAAGTACATCCACGGTGCTGGAAAGTACTAAGCAGTCGGGTTACATTGCCCTTTTGCACAGAGAACGATGTCCAAGGCCTCGCATGGTTGAGAAGCATTCCAGCTCGTCAGTTTGACATGGCCAAAGCAGAAGGCCTCTTGCCAGCGCCCTTTGTCTTTCGCTTTACCCCATCTCAGAGAAATCCTAAGCGCCACTTCCCCTCGCCCGTGAGCATCCGCGCTGCATACTCCATGCGAGGAGCGAAGGGTGGAGAGAGCTGGCGTCGGCTAGGAACCCCACAAGCAAACTCCGTGGGCAGATGCTAAAGCCTAGCCTGAGAACCAGGATGCACATCAATTTGGGGTCAATGCGGAGTGTATGGAGAACAGCCGACAACGACCTATGACGAGGAGCGCCTTGGTGAGAACGGTCTTAGTAGTCCTCCTTTTCTCGTTGATTGACCCGGTTATCCACCAGTTGGTGATGAGGGTAACGTCTGCTACTATTGGCAATAAGGCGCGCGGAGGGACCCATTCGGAAGGGCTCCGTTCTCACAAATGCCGTAACCAGGTGGCGGCGCCAATACTCAAGGTCCCGAGCATCGTCCAGCTCCACGCACCAGGGTTGGATTACAAGCAATAGGACGGAAATTGGCAGACGGAGCAGCACAACAAACATAATAGAATTTTCCAGCAGCTCTTTGTCCAAGCCAACAGAAAGCATCTACGATATAAATGAGCATCCACATACCGGCGCACGGTACAAGGCAAATCCAACGCCACTCATAACCCATGCCGCCTTCACGTCCCGAACTGGCCCGCCGTCACAATGCGAGATAGGGCCAAAATACGACGGCCTTCCATGCTGAGCCAAGCTCCCCCTGTCGTTGCCATGCTGGTACAGAACAGCACTCCGCATCTTATCATCCTTTTCTAGCTCTCACTTACTCGCGCATCCTTGAGCTAAACTTCTGGGCCTCTCTCCCCGCATCGCCATCCCTGCCCGGTTCTTTGTTTTGGACCCTCTTGGTTGTCGTCGTCGTCGTCACACCCACCCAGCCTTTCCTTGCACCTGGCCAATCCAGCCTTGCCTCAATTGGCTTATTATTGCATCTTGCAGTCATCTTGACCCATGATTCAGGCTGTCCATCTCCAATTTTGCGGACCCCTGGTCATGTATGTGCTAGGCGAATAGGCCCAGTACATATATGTCCACATGCCAGTACATGAACGCCTTGTCCTCCGACATTCCTCATCCTTTTTTCCCTCTCTCCGGAGTCAGTTTATGTGTTCCTGAGAGAATATTCTTATTCTGGTCTGCCTCCTTTTTGGTATATATCGCTTAGCAGGCCCAGACACCCGGTGGTTGCCGCCCGTCTGTCTAAGACTCGGATCAGCAGCACAGGATCAGAGTTTTCCCTCTTCCAAAGCCACCACCCCTCCCTTCAATCCTTCTCCCTTTTCGCTTAAACCTGTGAAAGGTTGCGGCGGCTGTTGTTTGTCTCCTGTTTAATCACACATTTCCTTTCTTTTTCCTTTTCTTTGTGGAGGCTTTCTGTGTTTTGTTTTTTTTTTGGTTCAAAAATTTGCCCATCATGAGCGACACAGAAAAGGTGCCCGCCGCAGACACAATCTCCAATTCGGAGCTCGACCAGATCGCAGACCCTGACGCGGGCTTGTCCGATGCCGAAAGAGCGGCGAATGTGAGTCTCAGGTTCTAAGCCTTATAAAAAAGAGGCTGTGAATGTGGAATCGCTAACAGTTGATTAACAGGAACGGAAACTTTTGCGGAAGCTGGACTGGACTCTCGTACCATGGGTAAGTACCTATCATAACGAACCTGATTCAAGCTCTAGTGGTAGATATGCTGCCTACAAAGGGAAGCTGCTGACGATTTGTCTCAGCTCACATTACTGTACCTCGTGTGCTTCCTCGACCGCACAAACATCGGAAATGCAAAGGTTGCCGGCCTCGGGAAGGATATTTCCATGTCAACAAGCCAATACAATGCATCCCTTACAATCTTCTTTGTTTCTTATGCCATTTTCGAGCCTCTGGCCAACTTTCTGTTGAAGCGTACTCGCCCGTCCATCTTCATTCCCCTCATCATGTAAGTTATATCTACATGGACAACAAATCTTATTTCGACCAAGATTCTAATAAAATCACAGCATCGCTTGGGGCGCATGCATGCTTGGAATGGGTTTCGTTAAAAATTGGTCTGGTCTCATGGCCGCACGATGGTTCCTGGGTGCTACCGAAGCAGGTCTCTTCCCTGGTGTGAATTACTATCTCTCATGCTGGTATAAGCGCAACGAGTTTGGCGCCCGAGCCGCCATATTTTTCTCAGCTGCTGCGTTGGCCGGCTCATTTGGAGGTCTCCTTGCGGCTGCCATTGAAAACTTGGACGGCAAGAGGGGAATTGCTGGATGGGCCTGGATCTTCATCATCGAGGGCGCATTGACTATGGTTATCGGCTTCATCTCCTTCTTCATGGTACACGACTTCCCTGACGAGGCCAAATTTTTGTCCAAAGACGATCGTATGCGTGTCCTGTATCGACTTATGCAAGACCAGCAGAGTTCTGCCGAGCATGAGTCGTTCAAAATGAAGTATTTCTGGGCGGCCATCTCGGATTGGAAGACGTACGCTGGCATGCTCCTTTACATGGGCCCTCTCATGCCGCTGTACTCGTTTAGTCTTTTCTTGCCCTCCATTATCCAAAACATGAGCTTCACCACCAAGACCGCAGTTGTCAGGAATCAGCTGCTCAGTGTAGCACCGTATGCTTTGGGCGCTATAGTCACCGTTGTGGCCGGTCTTTGGTCTGACAAGATTAAGAAGAGAGCCATTTTCAACATCGCCATTGCACCGTTTGGCGTCGCTGGCTTCATCATGTTGATAGCATCGACCAACCCGGGCGTACAATATGCCGGCACGTTCTTGGGGGCAGTCGGCATCTACCCATGCATTCCCATCACCATTGCCTGGGTTGCCAACAACGTTGAGGGCGTTTACAAGCGCGGAATTGTCTTGGGAATTGTCATCGGCTGGGGCAACTTGAATGGTGTTGTTAGCAGCAATATCTACTACGACGCGCCCCGCTACATCCAGGGCCATGCCACCGTTGTTGGATACTTATTTATCGCCACCTTCTGCGGCAGTATCCTGACGGCGTGGCTTCTCAACCGAGAGAACCAGAAGAGATTGAACGGAGAGCGAAATTACTGGATTGAGGGCAAGACACCGCAAGAAATCCAAGAGATGGGCGACTTGCGTCCTGATTTTATGTACGTTCTCTAAGCGCTGGAGCAGATCATGATATGCCAGTTATCCGGCTGGGAGTGTTGTTTCTTATTTCTCTTCATTTTGACATGTCTCTGGGGAGATGATATGATCAGAGCCGCATCATCTGCCTTATGTGATGATACAATATGAAAACCTCTATTGGGGGCTTTGAGAGACAGCTGAACAAGGTTTTGGGTGGGATTTTCCTTGGATACCAATACTTTTTTGAACTGGACATGGTTGGATTCGCTGTGACGAGTAGATCCTAGAGCATAGTGTGCCTTACCCTTTCATAGAAGGCAGGGTCTTTTTTTTTTTTTTTTGGACACAATAAGTATCTTGTAAATAGACGAATGGGTGATAAACATGTGTCAAAAAGGGTTCTTCGACAGTGGTAGTAATGACAAAAAGACGTTATGACAAATTTCATTTCAGACCAAGGATTTTCAATTACATGAGATTACATCTTCCATCTTTTGCCGGGAAGTATGGGAGAGATCATATATGTTAATAAGATGATTATTCTCAAGGAACCTCATTCTTCTTCAACTAATCCCTTCAACTTCACCTCACTAACTTTGTCGTATCATATGCTATATGCAACGTTGTCCTTTTAATTACTACGCCTCAGTTTCTCTACTGGCACTTGGCT